TTATATAATACATTATATACTAATAATTTATTATAATATATTACATTTATATATTATATTAATTATATTAATATATAAAATATTAGTGTTATATATAACATAAAGATAATTTTGTCAACATGAAAATATTTATTTTTCATTCTATAGTATTCATAAAATTACAATTAAACAAATGAATCAACTTTCTTTTTCATTCTATTACTATTACTATTTTCATTACCATTCTCCCACTACAACCAAACACACTCTTGAGTTGATGTTTTGTTTGAAACAATTTTGTGTTCTGCAACCAAACACACTTTTAGAGTCCGTTTAGTTCGGTGATTCGAGTTTTTAATTCGAGTTGAGATATGATTTTATGTGAGCTTTTTACTGTAATAAAAAAAGTTAGATGTGACTGTTTCTGAGAGCTTTTTATTTTAGTAAAATTCAAATTTTAAACTCGAAACGGTAAAATGAACAGAACTTAGAGTTAATGTTTTGTTTGAAACAATTTTGCGTTCATGTGGATTTTTAAAAGAGTTTCCATTCAAAACCGTGTGGGATATGAAACACAACAAACATAATATGACACAGACAAGGCACCAAACTAAATTGGTACAAATTAGGTGATCCTTCTAAAACCATCAATTAGTATTGGAAGTACACATCAACCGGTTACCATCTCCTTTTCATTGGATTTCAAGTCTAAGTTTTCTTCTTCAAATATTTGACTTCATAGCCGTTTTTCATTTCAAACTCTCAACTGCATTGATCAATGTGAACAAGCAATTATTGCTTTTAGTTGATCTACTCTTTGATGTTTTGATTTCAAATTTCAAAATTTGCTGACGCTTTACGTTAAAATTACTAACAATTATTTCTCTTTTTTTTTAAAAAAAAAAGAGAAAAAACTTCTAACCAAGTACATAACGCTCATAATTTATGTGGTTATCTTTTACCGGACAATATGATAATTTAGGCGAATTTATGCCTAGTAATAAGCTAATGAAGAAAGGTGGTTGCCTTTCAATAAGGAAAAGAAATGGAGAACGCCAAATTAAAAGAAACCGATATTGTGTTCCATAAAAAAATATATGCAAAAAAATGAAGAAGAATCCACATTCTTCATATTGCATTTTATTTTTATTTTGACTTTGATTTAGTGTTATGTTTTTTATTTAAATTTATTCTTATATATTTTTTTAAAAGGAATTATTCTTATATATCTTCTTATATGTGTGTGTAAATATGTTTGTAAAAGCTATGTTAGCGGCACTACATCAGTGTTAAAATAAAGGGATTTTTTACACTTGTCCCTTGAATTTTATGTGATTTTATGGGCGCGTTTAGAACTCATTTCAAAATTATTTTATTTTTTGTATGAAAATAGTAATGAAAAGCGTTTTTAATCTCAGACATAAATTATTTTTAAAAATGTATTTGGTAGTTTTATCAAGAGATTATTTTCAGTATAAAAAAACTCACTAATGTCTCTCTACTCGAGAGAGGAGAAAACGAAAATAAAAAATGAGAAACGACTAAAACTCATTTTTCATTTTTCTCCAATTTTACACTAGACTAAAAAATCGTTTTCATTTCTGTTTTTTTATCTTTAATTATGTCAGTTTTCGAATCGTTTTCATTTTTAAAACAAGGCATATATTTTCGTCTTTGAATTTGTTTTGTTTTTCTTTTTCCTGACAATTTGCTTTCTACTTTTTTTTTTATACAAAAAATCATATTAACATAAGCAGTAACTGAAGTTAAAAGTTTCTCGGACTAATCAGGAATTGAATTACCAAAATAATTATTTCCGAGAATGTAAATATAAGAAATGAGGGATCCGAGGGCATTTACCCCTGCTAACTGTTGGAGTTCAGTTTTCAGTTTTTCACTAAGGAAAAAGAACACAAAAGTGTTGAGTTATGTTCTAGAAAAAAAAAAAAAAGTGGTGCTTGTGAAAAATTTAAGGGGTGAAAAATTGAATACTTAATACGCTTAAAATGAATGAAAAGCAGAAAGGCACCCTTTTTGGTGAATGGCAATGCAATGCTAAAAGACCCATAATAAATAGTTAGGAAAAAAAAAGACCCATAATAAATTGTTAGGAAAAAAAAAAGGCCCATAATAAATAGTTAGGAAAAAAAAAACCCATAATAAATAGTTAGGAAAAAAAAGACCCATAATAAAAAAAGCAACCTTTAAAAAAACTAACAATAGTAATAATAAACAAAGGAAAGGACCGAAATTGAGAACTTAAAAGGAGGGAAATACACCAAGATGACAAAAACAGTAGTTAAGAACAGCAAAAGGTGGGGGCCCACAAAGACAAACTGACAGCTGTTTGGCAACAATGGCCTAAAGCCACTCTGTCATCAAGCCCTTAACAACCCTCTCTCTCTTCTCTCTTTCTCTCTCAGTTTCTATATATAGTCACCCCATTGAAACCCCTTGTCCTTACCTCTGCTGCATTAAGAAAGAAAAAAAAAAATCCCATCTTTACAAAGAAGAAACTCAAGAGCTTCTCATTTTTTCCTCTCACTCTCATTTTTTTTTTTTCAAGCAGTTAGAGAAAATGGAGGCAATGAAGAAGAATGTCATGTTGGCTCTTTTGGTTGTTGTTGTTGTGATGATGGGCTTCTCAGGCATGCAGAAAGCAGCAGCTGCTGATGCTCCAGCCCCAAGCCCCACTTCTGATGCCACCACTTTCCTCCCCACTTTCTTTGCTTCTCTAGCAGCTCTGGCTTTTGGCTTCTTTTTCTGAAAGAGCTCTTCTGCTTCCCACCATTATCATTCATCACCACCATTTTCATTACATTTTGGCTTACATACTCTCTATTTTTAATTATTTCTCTATGCATTGATGTTCATCTGGGGTGGGCCCTCTCTCTCTCTCTCTAGCCCATTTTCCCAAATGGGGTTGGATTATTTTTTTTCTTTCTTTCTGAGGGTTTTTATTTAATTAATTACTTTTGTTAACGTGATGTGATTGTTGGGATTTTTTTCTCTTGGGGTGTGATTGATGTGTTTGGTGGTGGCTGTATTTGTATTGTAATATATAAGGTTCTTGTATATTAAGTATTTTTTTTAATCTTTATGTAATTTTTCCCTTTTGGTTTAGTGGGAATGTTGGGTGGCTACTGGCTAGTCTTCTATAGGCTAATAAGGAGATCATGATGGGGAGTATGATGCACTTCTAGAGTTGGACAGATGGTGGATTTGATCTGTTCATGCACTTCTAGAGTTGGATAGATGGTGGATTTGATCTATTCATTGTACTACTATTTTTAATTCTCTTCTCATTGTATTTGTGATCCATTTTATGGTAATAAAATTCCATTCTTGTAATCCTGCAGTACTGAGGCTCTCCTTTTTTCCTTTAGCTTTCTGAGGATAGTTTCCTACCATTTCAATGCTTAATAATATAATGATTTCATGACATCCCTGGTATTTTCAAGAATTTTTAAAAAATAATGAAAAAAGAAATTGTAAAGTAGCAATTGTGGAGACCATCTTACCAAATTTGCAATTGTGGAGACCAAGGTTTGTGTGAGCTGGTTTTTCTTGGCAGATTCTGAAATGGACATGTGATTGTAATCATGGAAGGCAGAAGCCAGAAGTTGGTGGGTCCTTTTCTTCATTTCTGTGGGTAGTGGTGGCTAGGCCTTGGCCAGGCACCCATGTGAATATCCACGAGTTACATGATTTCATGTCTAGAACAAAAATTGTGCCACAAAATGGTTTTCTCTTCAATATAATTCCAAGTCATTTTCATGTTTTTAACAAGGAAATAATATCTTCATGCCCCAAGTTTTATTGGTTATTAATAATACCCTTTAATAGCTAGGTACAAAAATGGCTAAATCAGATCCCAGATGATTTCTTCCTCAAAGGTAGGTCATATTAAGGCCATATTTATTTTTCTTCCTCAAACCGGTTATGACATTAATAAATTTTGTGATATATGCATTAAAAAGACGTTAGGCTAGATTAAGTCCATTTCTTTTAGCTGCTAGGATCCTTGATCAAAAAACGGCTTAGGATATATTGCATATATTATTTTGGTAGAAAGTTATATTGCATTTTTTAGTCCTTGAACTCTTTTAAGGTTTTATTTAGATCTTTTTTCTATGGCAGTTTGGTCCTCTTCAACTTAACCTATTGGCCATTGAAAATTAGTTCAACTAGCAATATGATAAAATTTAGAGAGTTTCTGATAGAAGAGTTAAATTGGCAAGTAATAATATGTGGAGTGAAATAGTTGAATAGTAGAAAAGCATTATTCCCAAATGAATCTATAAACAATTTGGATGAATTTTATTGGCTTGATCAGGTTTAAGGATTCAATTTGTGAAGAAAAGAAATTAAAATTTATGGTGTCAAGGGAAAAGCAGTACAGCTGAATACAAACATTTTGGATTTTTTTTTTTTTTTTTTTTTTTTTGGTTTTTTTTTTTTTTTTTTTTTTTTTTTGCAACAAATTATAAAACCACAACTTCGATGTGAGAAAAGAACAATCTTTTGGAAGCGATTTACAATGAGGACGACGCTTTCATACCAAGTCTGGCCACATTTGTTGCCGTGAAAAGAAATGTTGGATTTGAGTTTTGATTCTAATGTGTTCACATGTGTAGTCACAAATTAACTGAACGCTTTTTTTTTTACATTGGTATTTGGTAGGCAGCAGCTTTCTGAGAATGAAAGTTGTTGAGGACAAAATTCAATACTGGTGAGAACTTGGGGCAAGTTTCCAAGAAGAATTTAGGAATGAATAGTGACGGGAACTTGTGGACAAACATCACATGCTTTGGTGAGTTCTAAGAAGGCCACAACAGGACCCACATGAACGAACTCCTAATTAAAAGGACTAAAGTACCCTTGATATATCCCAGTAGTTCATGTCATCTTTTACAAAAATTTTAATTTTAATTTAGAAATAGTAAAAAATAAGCCAATATAAAAAGCTTAAAAAAGTATATAGGTAAACTTTTAATTATAGAAATTAATAGGCCATAACTTGTCAAATTATGGTTCATAACCAGATAAGTTATGGACAAACTTGTCAAGTTATGGTCCATAACTAGACAAGTTATGAACAAAAACTGTGAATAACTTGTCAAGTTATGGTTCAAAACCAGACAAGTTATGGACAAAAACAGTAATTTAACCTATTTATTAACTTATGTAAACTATTGGCCTATTAATTTTAATTCATCTCAAGTCTCGGCATATTTTCCTCTTTCTCCCATTTTAATTCAAGCTTTGTATTCAAATCTATAAATAAATAAACAACTCTTAAAGCCCTACGGACCTTTCTAATTCACTTTGAACTTGTTTAATCTGAATTCGACCACCATCATCCACATGCACATGACAAAGAAGATACTTCACCTTCTATTTTGTGTTTCGTAATGACTTGTATCAATAATAGAAAGCATCAAAAGAAGCAGCACATGATCTGGCATGTGACAGATCACAACTCTGTACATTGCATTTTGATAAGTTTTGCTTTCATCTTTGAGGGCAAAACACATAAATTATCATCAAAATACATCAAAATAAGTGGGTTAGTTGGGGCAAGCTTTTTGACTGTGAGCTAAGACTTAGGAATGAGTGGGGTCAAGCAATTAGTGCAAACCATGTTGACAAGAAACTTCCATTCATGGGACATGTTGAAGTCGCACATTATTTATCCCATATGTTGTTCAAGTACAATTAAATTACGGTGCAAAAGAATTGACAAGGGGGAAAAAAAATCATCTTAAATAGGCTGGATTGAGAAATACAACTTGAAGAAAGAATGAATTTAGTTCTTGAATTTCCCTTCTCATTAACTCTCCTTTCAGTTGAATTACATGGCTGAGTAGTAAATACAAGAATACAAGATTGGAAATCAAAACTGCAGGCGTATATACCCCACGTTGGTTATTGATTTATAAAAAAACGACATACAAGTCGCTGACCAAACTTTTCTTTTGTCCATATTGTGCAAACTAAAGCCATAGGATCAAAACAAACAATTATCGCTCAATTTAGTGGTTGTTCAAAACAACCAAGAAAGAGAAGGGAGACAAAATTGGGTTCCTAGAATACAGTTACTTCTAACTAGGAAGAACTTATCCCCACCAATGAATTTACAAACCATGTAAGTTGTATCCACGTTCATATACATCTTCCAAATCTAGAATCTCAACTACATCAATTAGATCTAACTATTTCCTGAAGACTATTTCTTACTCTACAGTAGTCAAAAAGATCTCTAAATTATCACCAGCTAAATCACATATACAATTTTCATGTATTGTACATTGTGCATGGCATAGAAGCAAAAAGTAGACCCCAGATCTCTACATCACAAAAAAATAAAAAAAAAAGTGGCTTACTTGGGTGCACCCGTGCATTCTTCAAGAAGATATCTTCCCAAATGATACTTTGATTTTTTAACCCACATTTTGTGACTTTTCAGGACGCCGAGAAAGTTCCTTATCAGCAAAATGAAGGAGCCTCCTCAGTCTCAAAACCATATCACAATGAAAAGGCAGGGCAGTTCGTCGTTCCAAGTATGCTGGGCTTATAGTCATCCATGAGAGGGCTTGGAGCTCGGCAGCAACAGACTCGAGAATCAAGTGGGTCTCAATTTCGAATTCCTTGAGCTCTGAACTTGAACTCCTTCCCCCTTGTTTCATTAGACCTCTAGCCATTTTTTCTTGGGAGAAGTTATTCCCTCCGTAATGATCAACAAGACTAATCGAAAGAGCTGAAGGCCATTCCTCTTTTAAACTGTTCCTACAATCTTTTCTCATAGTAGGTACAGCTTTTGAAATCACAAAGCCAGTGGAAAGGGGAATTGCAGGACCCTTGCTGTGAAGGAGATGGGCTAGTGGGGGGGATTCGGCTGTGAGGCATGTGGGGAGCTGAAGAGGTGTTGGAGGGAGGAAGCGCATGCTAGGTGACGGGATAAGAATGTAAGAAGCAGATATAGAACCAATCGACTTCACAGGGGTGAATCCTTCCAGATACGTCGAGGAGCCGGAGTAAAGACCACCTTGGGAGCCTCCTGCAGAAAGCTCAATGTTGAACACTTTAATTTGGTTACGTAAAAAGTTCTCAAATGCAACTGCACTATTCTCACAATGCTGTTGAAAGTAGCTATGGATCAAACATGAACGAAAATATGCAGCCAGTTCCACACACATGAATGAAAATAAAGTAAAGAAACAGTCCACATGAGATGGTCAGCAAGGGGTCTAAGCGTTCTACAGCTATACCAGAACTTACCAATTGTTGTCCCTTCTATATTGCTGCAAATTTGCAATAAAATAAAAATGGAAAAGATGCATTTTTTTTTTCTCATGATGCCTTTACGAACTGCTATGTAAATGCATCTGACAACATATAAAAAAGTGTGAATGAAAATTTTTCAAAATGGCAGTTCCAAAGGTCAGCGGACCATTAAGCATGTACATGTGGTTATTTAGTTATATGCTTTTGGTGCCTGAAAAACTTTATTCAGAAAAGTTTTAAAGAGTTAAAAGTAAGTGGCTATAAGGGAAGAAAGAAGAAGGGGAAGGGATTAATCTACAAAGGTCTAAGGACAATAAAAAAAGATGGACAATAAGAATGGAATAAGGATGACAGATAGCTTACCAGGAGATGTTGAATCTGCTTGACAAACTAGATGTAAAGAATGGTCAACAGAAATAGCAACAAAACTGATGCTTTGCACCCACTGAAGCAGACTCTTTGAACTGTCAATCACAGCGTGCCCGCTCATAATTTGCTTTCTTGATGTAGGTTGCCCTAAACCACCTTTCATAAAGCCAGAAGTTTTTGTGTGAGGGCTACTGTACAGAGGGCTAGGTGAAGAAGGTAGATTTCTTTCTTGAATCAAACTCATTTCCTGCTGCTGTAAGGAAGTTCCATTAGGGTTGGCGGGTATCCCATCAGACACAGATCGCCGCAATTGCAGGGGCCATTTTTTCACCTCAGCACCCCCTACTGAATTAATTGCTTTCTGCCACTCTGTTTAAAGTCGGATGGAAAAAAACACAACTATAAGATCAATATCAAAATGAAAGAAATAACAGAATAAAGCATTCATGTCAACAATAAAATAAGATTGTCTCTGTTTGACTATTTTCTTTTCATACAAGAATCACATAGCTACCAAACTGCTTTCAGGACTAGTAAACATATGTTAAATGCAAACAAGGGAATTAAAAACACTCGATGGGAAATGATAAAGCAAAAGTCATATTACCTTGGTATTCAAGTTCATAGAAACTTCCAACGCGTGCAATCACGAAATCTCTGGGTCTGGCGACACCAGTATCAGAAGAGCAAGCCTGTAGTATCTGGCAACCTTGCTGCAGAACTTGAATGAAAAGGCACTCGAGACCTTTTGTGTCTTGCCTACTGCTAATTCCACCAAAAGGGAATATCTGGCTATCAAGCAATTCACCTCTTGAATCTGTCCAGATGCATACTAGCCAACGCCAATCCTCAGTCCAGCCATAGCAACAATGTATGCTCGGAGGATTCTTATCCATATCGGATCCATCAATATGAGAGTTTGATGCAGCATCACCACTTCCCACCGAACTTGCACTCTGCATGTAACTATCATCCAACAACGTTTTTGAAGATTCTGAAGATAAATTACCAAAACCAAAAGGTGTATATCCATGTTCTACAGAACCAGGTTCTGCAAGAATAAATAGTGGCTCAAACATGTATCGAATTTCATCTTGAAGGAAGTAATCTCCCATTCTGTTTGGATCGCAGGCTAATGCTCCAGATCTTGTTTGCCATGAATTGTCCCACGTACCATGCCTCAAGCTAGAATCAATTTCACCCTCCCTTGGAAGGGAATGCCCTGCAATTCGTGGACCTATGCAGTCTTTCCACATTCCAGGGGTCGGTGAAGGCATTTGTGTCATGACTGAGTGAGACCTACCGGACAACGATGATGAGTGAACTGCATCATTAGAAGATCCTCGCAACATCCGACGAGCCTTGTTATAAACAGTAAAAGCAATCTCCTTAAGAATTACAAGCTCACTAAGTGATGGACTTGTAACTCTGAAAATGGCATCAACTGTAACAATCTGCAGTACCAATTTAGGAATACTAAACCCCGAAAGTACTAGAACATTTGATATTGATGCTTCATCCACAGATGCAGAACAGCTTAATGCCTTTGCGACCTGACTGTGCAATACAGATCTCCTTTCTCTGTCTGATTGGAAAATAACAGATCCAACAGCAACAGAAGATTCAACAACAGTTTGTAAAACAGCAGTAGGCTCAGGGAAAGGGCATACTACATAGATAACCTGGTCAAAGAGAGCCCAAATATTAGAAATAAAACCCTTTTAGCTGTGAAAGGGAAAAAAAAATGTCGGACAAAAAAAAAAAAAAAAAAAAAAGCCAAAGAAAACCCATATAAACTGCAAAGAAAGAAAACACAAATTAATAGAATTTACCACTTACCATACATGAACTGCTACTTCCTTCTCTAGTATTTGTGGACATGCATTGGCCAAGCTTCAAAGCTTTTAGAGCCTTTGAGAGGGACTTGAGATAGCTTGTCAAGTCCCAACCATTGGAAAGAGAGAGAAAATAATCACTTATTGAGCCAACAAGAGATGCATTACCGCTTTCTATCCTCATTGCTTGAGGGCAATCGAGTAAAATAAAACCAGGAGACAAACATTTCCCAGAATCTACCTCCATTTGGTTCCCAAAACTCTGGGGTAAATGAGTACCCAGTTTGCATGTCTCATAAACTTGAGAGAAATGAAAGAACAAAATGAGAACATATTACAAAGACACAAATGAGAACATATTACAGTAAATATAAAACTTGCTTTTGCAAAATTAAATCAGTAAGTGTGTAATTAGTATGTTTCCTTCAAGAAAAACTGAACTATTGTTTTCATCAGATACTATTAAAACCTTATGCCAAGAAAGAAATACTCTATTTATGTCTTTCAACTAAATTAATTTTACTCACCAGTCCCTAGTTGTTGGAAAAAATCAGAAGCAGCAGACGTAAGAGGATCAATATCTGGACATACTACACAATAAGTAATCTGCAATAAATAAAAGCAAAATTATAGAAGGTGCAATTTCTAAAATCCTTCGATAACATATATTGCTACACATAGATAAATCATTTCTAACAGACATATAAACTTTGTTTTCCACAAACTTACAGGTTTCTGTAAAGCATAAGGTTCAAAGGGAGCCTTTTCCCAGAGTTGTAGAGAGCTCGCTGATGTCTTCAGCCAATCATCCTGATACCTGTTTCACAATAACGTTTGAGCCTATCTCAACAACTTGATTATGGTCGAAATAATAATACAGGGTCCAGGCCTTCATCTGGCCAAGTAGGTATCCCAGCATGTCAGAGTTATAACTTTGAAAGCACTGCATCATCATGTTAAACCTTTTTTTTTTTTTTTTTTTCCCATTTTAGTGCATAGGCTTTACATCAAGCCAAAGAACAACGGGGTAATAATGCATTTCAAATGATGACTAGAACTTAAAAATATGACATCAGACAATTATAGCATCCTATCTATAAATAGTATAAGTGGCCTGCATATCAGAAAACTTGGCTGATTTGTTTATCATCACCGAGGCTGAAAAAACAGTAGAAACAGATAAGGAAAATGTTACTTCATCCTCTCGGTAGAGTAAAACGGTCATTATTTTAAAAATAATAATAATAATAAATAGTAGTTGGTGGTTTATGTTCCTCCCACTCAGCTTTTGCTCCAAATTGTACCTATTTTAAAGAGACTCTTTTTAGGCCAGAAGAAAGTTTTTTTTCTCTCTCTTCTTTTAGGTTAGGGCATTGTTTATAAACCAAAATGTGAAAGAGAAGGCGCATAGAAGTTTTCAATTTCGTATAGTCTTTCATCTATTGGTGAACTAAACAGTGTAAAGACAGGAAAATGATTATACCATGGGTGAAATATACTACTTCTTGTCCGCTCGCTTTATAATTACAATCCTATATTTATTCTCTCTCTAAAAACTATAGACCGAGTCTATATAAATAAACATTTGGTGACTCAAAAGAAGCCTCATAATCAAATTGATTTTCATGGGCACTTTTAGTTGAGTACTGAGACGTAACAACAATAAAAGCGTTTAATAAACCTAGCACGATTGCCTGCACCCCCCTCCCCCAAATTGTCGTGGTTTAACAAATTGCCCCCCAAACTTTCAATTATGACAATCAACTCCCCCCCGAACTTGTAAAATTGTTGCAATATGCCCCGTTTTACTAAATTGTTCAAATTCTTTTTTATTAAATTTAGGGGATTAAAAGTTAAGGAATTGAAAGATTTGTGTTACATTTGAATTGGGATGTCAAAATTTTTTCATCGAACGTGCTTTTGCAACACTAATTTAACACAAGTATCGCCAAAATAGGGCATATTGCAACGATTTTACAGGTCAAGGGGGCAACTTGCCAAAATTAAAAGTTCAGGGGGCAAATTGCTAAAGCCATACAAGTTCAGGGGGCAAATGTGTAAAATACCTTACACCTAGATAAGAAAAACATATTGCATTTCTATATGACAACAATCTTACCCTCACCATCTGGTTTTAATAGGATGAACACATCTCTCCAAAAGCTTATTACTGAATTTTATTCATGCATGATGCACCTATTCAGAAACTTAATATAATTTGCCTATAGATGTATTACGCATATATTACAGAAATTGCCAACAGAAGATGATGCCTAATCTTAGCTTGTTAGATGCTGATGCAAGAGCTTTGGGCAGAAGGCGTACCCAACAAGTATAGAAGGCAAGGGAACAACAAAGAGTGATGGTCTTAGCCGGAAGAAGTTTTGCTGTTCTCCTTCAGAACCACAGTTTTCTTGATTTGATCTCCTTTGGCCTGTCTCATCCATTTTCCCTCCATCTGCAGCAGTAGGTACCATGCCAAACGGTCAAACTTATTGGAACACTGAAATAAAAACATTAGCTTACACATTTTTCAAGCATATATAAATGCAAGCGTATAGCTATACCTTTAAAGCCTGATGGTCCACCAGAAGACTGAGACGGGCTCATTGAGTCTCCAATAGATACTGCTGCAGAACCTGATGAATCCCTACATTCAGTAATAGTCGATTCAGCAGAATACCCATCGCCCACACTTCCTGATTCACCTGATTGGTTTCGGCCTTTGCACCAATCAGTGACAGACAATGGTCCATCCAGAGCATCAAATGCAGATTTTAAAGCTGTTTTTATGTCGGATTGTAGCAAACTAATTACAGAGGAAGCATAAACCTGGAAAAACAATAAAGAACCTTATATATTTCATATTCATAATTCCAGTTACCCCACAAGAGTTTTTGCAAAGGAGGCTTAGTAAAATCTAGCATATAGGACCAAATTCACTTGACAAAAGTCATGCTAATGGTTCTTTGAAAGAGAACAAGCACTTGCTTACCAGAAGGAACACGGATAAAATGGCAGGGCATCAAATAATCACAAAAATTAATTCAAATCAATGTTTAACAATGTACAAGATGGATACAAATCCATGCAACTTAACATACTAATTATGCCCACGAAGACTGAAATTATAGCCATAAACATTTTCACATGAGGTTAAATCTCCAGTTATTTTTGACGGTTGAGGCCTTAAAATGAAAGGAAATATGAATTTGTGTGGTCATTAATCATCCGATATGATAATCATCAACCACCATCCATCATAAGAACCGAACTTATGCACTGTGACACGTGTTAAACTACACTGTCTAGTACTGGTGGCTCTTGTAATAACTTCCTCAACTAGACTGTATGATATGATTAGCATCAACATAGTTTTGGCTTTAGCACAAGCATAAGGGGTGAAAAAAAGAATAGCTCTTAAAAGAATACGATATAGACAGCTACTGAAAGCAGAACAAAAAGAATAGCTCTTAACGAAGAGTGAAAAAAAGTCATGCAAAGAGCGCTTACATCAGCGGAAAGAGGATCAGTTAACTCCACTCCAGCAATGTCCAAGGAATGACACGAAGCCAAAGTTCCCCCACAACCTGCATGAACCATAGAAGGCCCACAGGAGAATCCTTTTCTCCATTGCTCTTGTAATGCCAGCAAACCACAAGGTCCATCACCGCAATCCGTATCAAGAGCCAGATCAACAAATGAAGTAGCTTGTTGGACAAGTAATGCCATACCATCAAGAAGCTCTTGAAGTGGTTGTCTTTGCCCATAAGAAAGCATGCCTTCCTCATTGAATGGATTATGGGGCAAAGATGGGTTGACTTCCATACTTGGTGAATTTGTGGGTTTTGATACCCTAGGAACGCTAACAGAACGCCAAACACCAACTGGAGCATTGAGATGCCCATCTAGCATTCCTCCGTCAATATCACCAGCTATTCTAACTGGTATAGATTCTTTCTTTTCCACCTCATACTTGCCAGATATATTGTCTGTCATAACACTATGGTCATTGGGAAGCTGATTTAAAATAGTGCTTGGAGTCAACCTACTCAAACCTACTGGCATAGGGCTACTTGAAGATAATAGGGTGTGTCGTATCCTACACATAGAGGCTTGGAACATAATGCACTCGATTTCAGTTGAAAGCACAGTTTTCATAGACAGAAATATATTATCTCCACGCAATGTGCTGTCGGCAATTTTCCTAGGGGCACCTTTAATATCATTTACAGGATTGATATTTGATATGGATGACCCCATGCCTTCACTTGTTACAACGCTATTGTTAGAAGATCTTCTGTCATGTTGGTCCTTGACACTCTCCACAAGAGTGTACCAGTTCTTTGACTGAAGAGTAGCACTTGAACTTGGCTTTACAGTGGAAGTATTTGAATTCACGAGTATGCCTGTCTTCTCATCAGAACCATCAAAACAAGGAGAACTAGGAGGTGTTGCACCATATGTGTAAGTGTTTGAACTTGAACTTGAACTCTCCACTTTTCGAGATTTTGGGAAGTATGGACTTCTGAAGATAGAAGAAGATAACTCACTTGTAGGGGCTTCAACTGCTCCAAATTCAGGGGCAAACGTCATCAGAGCCTCAGCTTTTATAATATGATCGAACTCGCTTGTAGAAAATGCTAAAGAAGTGTTCACTAAACCCAATGATGAGTTATTCATGACTCCTTGATTTTTGCTGATAATCTCCTCATTGGGTGCTGGAGGAGGCTGACTAAAGCTGTCAAAGGGTGTAAAACCCTCAGTTGAGAGCAACTGATCTGAAACATCCATGATCCCAACTGGACTGCTAAGTATATCTCCACAGTCCGGTCCAGAGAACATAAGAGCATGCGATTCTGCAGTTCCTGGGGGCTTTGAAACCAAAGTAACACGTTCAATTTTCAATATTCATTCATGTTCTCAAAAGTCAAATCACAGGCCCAAAAAAAAAAAAAAAAAAAAAAAACCTAAAATGTACAAAGCTTTATGGACTATATGTAGAAGAAAACAAAGTACCTCTCCAAAAGGTAAAGCGTCATTTTCAAAGAAGTCACCGAAATCTCCAAACTCATGAAGAAGAGCTCGAATATCAGTACCCATATCTCTATCATCATCATCCCAATCCCAATAACAACCAATCTGATCATTTCCAACACCTGTAATCCCAGAATTATTAACTTCTAAAGAACCAAGATCAGACTTGTATGAATCTTGCATGGGAACAATTGCAGCTGCACCCATTTGACCGAATGAGTCTGTCATCCCTGCTCGTGGACGCTTGGAACCCTAACAAAAAGTTACATTTTGGGAATCATCAGTAGCAAAGACAAATAGTCTTGCCTCAATACAGTGCTATCGCAAGCCAAAGAGACTAATGCACAAAATAAATAAATAAATGAAGTAAGAGGATAAATTCATCTCTTTCTACCAAAAAAGAAATTAATAACAAAAAGTTGCCTCTGCATCAGAATTGTCACTTTTGTGATGAAAAAGGTAGAATCTAGACGATCTAAGATATAACATTACAAAAATTTGCTCTCTTAACGAAAGGAAATGACCAGAGGGACTAATACACTAATGGAACTAAAAAGCACCTTTTACTATTTAGAGTTCAGCAAGATCAAGATGCCTTCTACAAGAAACAAGCCTACCTGAGAATAATACAAAGAAAACAAAAGAGCAGACAAAAAAACCTCAAATTTCGCAGTCGGAAAAGTTAATCCAAATGTAAAGACCTATATGTACTTTTATACCTAAACCTTATAACATTCAGATCTAGTCATCAGTTCCTAAGTTCGCTGCCACAACTATGCCAGGATAATTTGTTCTTCTAACCAAGGAAAACTTTCAATGATGGAAAGCCAGAAGTTAGAACATGCATAAGTCAGAGACCTAGGCAAATGTGAAGAAATCAAGAACACAAGAATGTCATACACTATGATAGAGAATTTATAATGGATCTTTCAATCATGGATACAAACTAATGTTCATAATAAGGTGACCATGCAGATAACAGAAGTGACTTTGTGAATTAGACAGATGAAGTACCAATCTAGGGAAATCATTCTCTAGCTGATCATTAGATGATAAACCAGATTGTCTACAGGTTAAAGAATCAGCATCTGCCTCAAGTTCATTGGCTCCTGAATTCATCTTGTAATCGCTATCACTGGAGCTGCTGCTTATGCTACTAATGCTGCTACAATTGCTGTTGCTGCTGCTATTATAACCATGCTGTGAGCGCTTACTATAGACTTCATTTAATCCTTCCATGTAATCTGCATTGTCAGCGCTGCATGAACCACAACAGACAATGGCGGAAATGAGATAATTAGTCAATCTTAATATTGTGAGTCAAACAATAGGCAAAGATGCTACTGTAGCAAAATAAGTGTTTTCTTTTCTTTTCCTTTTTTTTTTTTTTTTTAAGGAAAACAACTCTCATTGATAAGATTATCAAGTACAAGGATAAGAGGATAAGGTTTCTCCAAACAATAAAAGAGAAAAAAACTAAAATAACACGGAAACAAAAATAAAAAAACACAGGGAAAATCTTAAATAAACCAAAAGAAGGGCAATTATTATCTTCCTAAAACCTCTCCAGTTCAGAATGATCAAGGAGAAAGGGAACCCTTAAAAATTTTATTCGTCGATGCCCATGGTGATGCTAAGAATTTCGCCTTTTCAAAAATTTATCCATCATCTCCATTTCCTTTTCTTCAAAAATTCTGGCGTTTCATTCAATCCACAGTGCCCAAAGAAGCAATATCACCACACACTTGCATAAAACATTCGCCATTTTATTAGAGTCAAAAGCCACAATGCACTACACCGTGAATGACTTAAATTCAGGAGGGAAAGCCAAAAGAAATCCTGCCTCCTCTAATAGTTCCTACCATAAAAGTCTCACCATCCTACAGTGTAGTTAAATGTGGTCAAAGGTTTCTCCATCAATTCTGCATTGAACACACTACAAAGGAGATGGAGCCAAATGATTTCTCCCCTGTACCCTATCACAAGCATTTAGCTTTCCATGAAGACCAACCAAGCGAAAACCTTAATTTTGTGGGGGACACTAGATTTCCATACGAAAACTGAACGGTTCATAAATAGAATTATCATTTTACCCACAAGCGAAGCAAAGAATGATTTGCAAGAAAAACCTGATGAGTCACATACAAACTGAATGAGAGGATTACGGAATTGATGTAAAGAATTGCAAATCCTCTACTTCTATCATTAAGACCCTCCTTAAACAAAAACACCCAGTTCAATTCATTGTTACTGGACATGGAAAGAATGTCATCAATACAAGCAAAAGGGATATCAAACGCCCTAAACAATCTAGTAAATGAATGTTCCAAGGACTGATTCCCACCCCACACATCTTTCCAAAACAATATTATGGTGCCCATGCCCCCTACCCGTTAAGTATTATGGATAAAGCCCTTCAACCCTCAGATATAAATTTCCAAGGTAGAGATGTCAATCATGTCGTGCTGTTTGGCCCGACCCAACCCACAATCGGCTAGGCCGATGTGTGCTTTGTGCCGTGTTCAGCCTAGCCCATTGAAACTTCGTGTCAGGCTCAAACCAAGCCCCTGGGCCCAAGCACATTCGTGCTTGTGTCATGCCATGCTCATGCTTTATCGTGCTTGGCACAATGGACCTTTGGGCCGACCCATTGGACCATTGAGTCATTTGACAAAAAAATAATTTTCTAAACAGTTTTCAAATAAAAATATAATTTCATATGCTATTAGCCAAAGAAAAAAGCAAAAAACTTGATACCATCATAAGTACTAATTTATGAATAAAATTTTTCATTTTATTTAAGTTACTGAGAAGAGAAGACAACTAACATAAAGAGATTGCAAATCCAATACTATATTTAAATTACTAACTATAAGAATCACATATAGCAAGCAATTAAAAAAAAACGTTGTTGAGATTAGAGAATATCAATTGTCAAATATACTTAATATAAGCAACGGATAAATTTTGTATTAAGGTGAGATTATATTCAATCACATTTAATTTTGTTGATTTGAGAAAATTAATGTAAATCATTTAATTTTTTTTAAGGTCAAATGAACTAATTCTATTTTTGTGGATAAATAAAATTTTAAATTATTAAAAAATATGTAACAACATGAAAATTATATAATAAAGTTATATTTTTCGCGTCGGCCCATTGTGCTCAATGGGTTATGCCGTGCTCGTGTTCTGCTCATGCTTGTCATCATGTCGTGTAGACCCACGTGCTTAAAACTATGAGCCCGGCACAGCCCACCACCTTGTGTCGTGCTTAGCCCAACACATAATAATATCGTGCAATGTCATGCTCAGCCCAAAAATTTTGTTGTCGTGCCATCGTGCTCGATGGGCGGCCTGGCCCAATTGACATCTCTATTCCAAGGATTCCAAAAAGATCCTTTTGCAACAAAGTTCATACTTACTCTTTATGATCTTTGCCCACAATGAATGTTGTTCAAGGGAAATCTCCCCAGCTATTTGCCTAAGAGTGCCACATTCTTCCACTTAAAGCTTCCTATTATTCCCAAGTCCCCTTCAGCTTACACTTCTTGACTATGTCCCAAGCCACTAACTATTCACTTTTCCTCTATAGCAAAATAAGTAAGCATTTCTATGTTATTTGATGCTTTTTTCTTTTATTTGGATAAGAAACATCCTTATATTGATATGAAGTCAAAGACAAGCAGGGGGACGGGGACTGAGAAAAAAGGAAACAACAATAAAAAAACCAAAAACAAATCCTTGTACTTGGGTTACAAGTTATAGCAAAATAAGTAACCGCATCAAATGATATAGAAATGCTCGAATTTTGGGAGAGGAAGAACACTTTAGCAGCTAAATGCCTGAAGCATGTAGGTTGTCTTCCACTGCAGCAAGGTTTTAAATTGTGTGATCAGGTGCCGAAGCGTTCTTTTTTGTGGAGCAAGGCGTAAGCCTCAAGGCGTTTAGAGGTGCTTGCCTCTCAAAAATTATAAAATGTATGTATAAAAATTATGAAATGAAAATTTTCTCATTCATTAGCCGTGTGTCCTATACTTATTCTCAAATTCTCATGTTAAACTGCATTATAGACAGGATGAAAGTCACTGGCTTCAACCAACTAAAAATATTTGGAAAAATATGTTACCAAAAACCGTGAGAACCACGGAAATAGCCAAAAGAGGAGCAGCAAATTGGAAACTGATTTTAGAAAAAAGAATTGCATGAGTGGAATGATTAGAAAATAAACGCAAAAGAAATTATTATTATTATTATTATTTTTTGAAAAAATAATGAAACCTTCATTAATGAATCAAAAGGGAACAAAGGATGAAGAGGACGAGTTATCCTCCACAAATCCAGTTCCAAAAAGACGGGGCAAACAAAACAAAATCAATCATACCAGACTAAACAACTAGGACAGGGCTATAAAAAAGGGGCCCAGCTCCTAATAAAATCAGAAAACAGAGACTTCCCAAACACTATATCCCTATAAATCCACATCAACACCCAGTACTTAATTTTATCCTAAATAACATACTCGCCCTCCCCTTGATCCTCAAAAATTCTATTATTCCTTTCCAACCATACACCCCAAAAGATAGCTAAAGAAGCAACCCTCCATAAAATCAATCCCGTTTCACTAAGCTAGAAGGAGAAGAGAAAACCAGCAACTCAGCACAGCTTCTTCTAGGTGTGACCCAAGAAAAACCAAACTCCTTAAGCAGATAAGACCATATCATACGGGAATAGGAGCAATGAAGGAAAAGATGATCAGTTGCCTCCCCATCATTCCTGCATAATAACACCGGCCTGGGGACATTGAAAGGAAAAGGCTCCGACGCTGCATTGAGTCATGAGTATTCAGTTTATTGAGAACAATAAGCCAACAAAAAACTTGAACCTTGTGGGGGCACAAATTTTCGAAATATTTTCAAAAAAGACAAACCGCAGAGATGAAGAACCAACTGTCAGCGAGAACACTGATTTGACTGGAAAAACAAACTTATATGATCAGGCACCAAATCCCTTCCATCTTGAATTACACCACAAAGCCTAACCCTCTCCACAACATAAATTAGCTCCAAAACCTCCCTCGACTCCCTGTCCAATAAGTTTCTTGAGAATCTAAAATCCCACGAACCAACGCTTCCATCCCGTGACTCAATGTCCGAAGAAAAACTAGCAATTGGCTAATCATGGAGTAAAGATATTCTATAAAAATCGGGAAATCTTAGGCACAAAGGACCTCCTTCACACCAAGAATCCTCCCAGAACCTGACAATTTCTCTGGGGCCAATCTTCCATTTAACCCCCGGGAAAAAACTGTTGGCCGCTGACTGGACTGATTTCCAAGGGCATCGAAAAGTTACTCTTGACGCTACCCATAAATCCCATTTGTTTTGAGCCAATCCATATTTCCCTACAATGACTCCATGCCATAGAGCATCTGTTTCAAACGGAAATCTCCAAAGCCATTTTGCTAACAGAGCTTTATTTCCCTTCTTAATGTTGCCAATACCCAAACTTCAGCAGCCTTGTCCTGCTTAAACCATCAACCGCGAGAGTTAACAGATATGGGGACAATAGATCTCCATGCCGCAGCCCTCTTAAAGCTGAAAATTTGCCCCTCGGCCTGCCATTAATCATCACTGAATAAGTTACTGAACCAAGACAGCCCTCCAAATCTTGTTTTTCTCCATTACAAAATCTGGATACTTCCATTCAACATGATCATAGGCTTTTATGAAGTCAATCTTTTCCACCACACCCTCTCTTCTTGAGGACCTATAGTCCTCCACCACCTCGTTAGCTACCAAACCAAGATCTAAAATCTGCCTCCCTGTCACAAATGCCCCTGAACTTCTGAAATTGTCTCTTCCAGGACATCCTTGAGCCTATTCGCCAACACCTTCAAGATAATTTTGTATAGGCTTCAAACCAGACTAATGGGTCTAAAATCTTTGATCCTACAAGAATTAGACTTTTTGGTTTTTAAACATATGTATGTTTCATTAGTGATCTTATTAATAATCCCATCTCTCCAAAATTCTTCGAAAACTTTCAAAATGTCACTTTTCACCAATTGCCAGCAAACTTGAAAAAAGGAAAGTGTCAACCCATCCGAGTGAGGAGCCTTGTTACCATCACAGCTGAAAACTGCTCTCTTAATTCCTTCCTCTTCAAATGGTTTCTCCAAAGACTCGGTAGCGAAATTAGAAATCGAATTCCACTCTAAACCTTTAACTCCACTAAAGTCTCCACCCGATGACTCATATAGTTTCTCATGAAATTCAATAATCTTTATCTTCCACCTCTTCCAAAATAACCCTTTCATCACTTTCCAATTTTGAAATTGTATTCCTCATTCTGCTCACACTCAATAACCGATGGAAAAGTTTAGTATTCGCGTCTCCCTCTCTAGCCCATGTAGATTTACATTTCAACCTCAAGGCCCTATCCTCAATACAACAAAAACAACAATAACAAGCCTTAATCCCAACTTAACTAGGGTCGGCTATATGGATTTCACTTTTCCACACGGCTCTGTTCGAAATTATACTTTCTTAAAGGCCTAGATCTAGAATGTCTTTCCTAACGACTTCGGTCCACGTAATTCTTAGTCTACCCCTCCCTCTCCTAGTATTAGGTATAAGAATGTCCTCCCAAGCACGAACTGGTGCTTCTAGCGGTCTACGTTGGACATGCCCGAACCACCTCAAGCGGCCATCGCGCACCTTATCTTCTATTGGTGCTACACCTACTTTACTACGAATAACTTCATTCCTTATGCGGTTCATTCTCATATGGCCACTCATCCATCTTAACATATGCAGTTCTGCCCCACTCATCTTAGATATATGTTGTCTCTTAATGGCCCAACATTCACTACCATATAACATCTATGTTTTAGCTCTCTCTTCTCCAACTGCAGAATCAAAGACCATTTGAAGCCTCTTTCCTTTTGATCAATCTCCTCAATCCTCTTTACTTTTCTCTTATGCACCGGATTAACCTCTGCCGACCCCAAACTCCATCTTTTCACCTTTTCTTTTTAAATCTTCAACTTTTGCATTACTCTATAACCATCCCACCCTCTGACGTCTTCTTCCTAACATCTTTTCATATGTCTATTCTTCCTAACATCTTTTCATATGTCTGATTATTTCTTTGTTCTCGAGCCAAATATTATCAAATCTAAACTGAGGGGGCCCCATTTAGGCGGTTTTGTGTGAAATAAAATAGGACAGTGGTCTAAAACTGCTCGAACTGCCACCTCTTGACACCCAAATGGAAAAAATTCCAACCAACGTTCAGAGAGTACAAAAGGGTCTAGTCTCAATAGATGGGAGAATCTCTAAAATTAGACCAAGTGAATTTCGCATTATGGAGAGGCGATCTGTCAAACTCAAGTATCTAATAAGATCATAAAAAAGCCTCATACTCTTAGTGATATTATTGTTGCCACTTTGCTTTGACAAAAACCGAGTAACATTAAAGTCGCCCCCCCACGCACCAACTTTGCCCACATAAGCTCCATAACCCTACTAGCTCGTCCCAAAACATCGAAACTCACCGTTGGAGTTGCATATTTTGAAGCACTTCCTAAAATTTCCTCCGCTTTTTTTCTCACCGATTGTCACTGTACCATCATGATTCACTCTTACTAACATGTTGTCCTCATCCGAGAATAGTTTAGCATCCCCGGCCTAGATCTCCCACCATACCTGCCATCTTCTAGAGTACATCCCACCATCACCCCGCCATCCAGACAACCCTCCATATCATCTTCCAATTTAAACAGTGCCACTGTTGCTAAAGGACCAAGGTTTTAAGGCGTTTTGACTTGAGCCTGCTCCGCATAAAATCTGAGAGAATTATTACCCGCAAGGCTATCGCTGGTTGTCTCCTCTAGGCTCTCCGTTGCAGTAAGAAGTCTCACTTCTTCCAGCCCCACGAAAGCTTCGCAGTCGTCCAATCCTACACTCCTCCATCAAACAGAATGAAGAAATGGATCGCAAACTTTCATCATCCGATGCAAGTTCCACATGACCTTCTGGGAATAAATCCGTTTCTCTACCAGCGCCATAGCCAATCGAATCTTTGCTTTTTTTTGGTAGATCTTCGATTAAAAAAAAAAAGGAAAGGCTTGATTCTATGCTTTTCCACTTCTCCTTCGCTTGAATAGTGTAGAATGGGCTGTTTGGGTTTTTCTTCTGAATTTCACCTTCCCACTTTTTAATTTTAGCCCTAATAAAATCAAACTTGTTTTAGGGCCTCCACGACAACCCACCTAACTAAAATGGCCCTAACCGGTTATGAACTTGCTTTACCAGAGCCCACCTTCAATTCCCCTAATTCCAGCTTTCCATCAGTAAACCCAACTATTGTAGGCCCAATTTCTGATTAGGCTTGGTCATTATTAATTAGCCCATTCCCCTCTAAGTACTTCTTTTCTCCCAGAATCCCGAATTTATTAGAAAGAATTGCTCCCTCTTTTTAGGGAGTAGATTATATTCATTGGTTTCAGAAATGAGGATCAACTCCTCAACTACATATTCTCTCGACTCTCACTTCCACTGATGTCGGTGGCTGCATTGGAGGGGAGGACATGCGGGCCAAAATCACAGGGGTACGCTGAACCTCCCCCACGATCTGCTTTCCACGTGGAATCCATGATGAAGAAGACTCCACGTTGGATTTGCCTGTCGACTTTTCGATTCCAACTCCACTAACGCTACATCCACCATTGAAGCCGGAGTTCTTGAATGCTGGAAATTCTGCGTCGAACCCATCATTACTAACACCCTCACCGGAATTTCTGCCTTGCGTCGCAAATCTAACTCCAATTACTTCATTTTCACTTGCTTCTTTTGTTTGTGCATACCCTTCAATACTTCTAAAAATCAAACCTCTCGTTCTGCCATTGGAATGGGTTTGGTTATTCTCCAGATTAAATAAACCCAGATGAATCATCTCTCCTAGACATGGGACCTCCAGAATTGGTGGCATAAGGCATGCCTTGAATCCTCTAACCTTAATTTTAGCAAACAATAGGAAGGATTGATCTAAAGTGTCCTTCGCGATCTCAAGAAGATCTTTGCAAGCTTCTCCTCTGATCTTGAAAGCATGGTAATTCCACAGGTTCAGAGGCAATCCCTCGATTCCAATCCAACTATTTCTGGCCTCAATCTGGACATGCTCCCAATGAGAGAAAAGAGACCATGGCTCCATTCTTGCCATCGGATTTCTTCTACAAAACAGATATTTCTCTTTCAACAACGAGCTTTCAACCTCATCCACATTTCTCCTCACAATCACCACTGTCGTTTCCATGATTTGACTACTTCAACCATCTTAGTCACAAATGAAGAAGATTTCCTCAAACTCCCTTTAGGATAATACCAATTGGAGTCAAGATTATGTTGAGGAATTTGAACCCTCTCTTCCCCACATTACCCCTAATTCCTGAGGCGGGTAAACCACCTAAATTTCTCCCTAGAATCACGTCAAGCTTGGCCTTCAAAGTCCAATCCGCTTTGGTTCTATCCCTTGGTAGAAATAAGTTTCTAGCCACCCGGCCTTGAATCCTAATAATCTTCAAGAACTCACCCCTTCGTTTGATAGAATCTCTACCAGTAAAGTCATTAATGAGTTAGCAAACTTATGTTTGAATCCCTGCCCAACTTCCAACTCACAAATAATTCCCAGAGTGTCACTCAAACTAGAGAGCTGCATCAATGGAAGAAGAAAGACAAAAATCTACGACTCTTCTTGACCTCCTAAAATTTAATGTAAACCCATCTTGAAAAAAATCTACAATTCTTCTTGACCTCTTCAAATTTAATGTAACCCCATCTTGTCCTAATGAGACGAGGAATAGCTTTAAACTAATTCTAAACTCATGTTTGAAGAGGTTAAAAGAAACCGAATCCATGGTATTGAGCTTAGGAAATCAAATTGTGACGTTTAGGCTTCTAGAGAGAAGGGAGAGCATCTCTTTCTACTTTTCACAGCAAAGCAAACAAAAAGGAAAATTCCCCATAGCAGTTGTTTTCTCAGTATGTAGTTGGCCACCAAATACACAAATTAGGAATATAAAGCAAAAGAAATTAATTAAAAAAAAAAAAAAGAAGAGGGAGGAAGCAAATAAACGCTTACTCAATTCATGTACTTTCTAATCCTTAATTTAGACCATTGATATACATCATTTCTTGTTAAGAAGAAGGAGAAGGAGGAGGAGGAGGAGGAGGAGGAGGAGGAGAGGAGGAGGAGGAAAGCAAAAGAAATTAATTTAAAAAAATAAATAAAAAGAGGGAAGACGAGGAAGAAGAAGCCAATTTATTTACTTTCTTATCCTTAGTTTTGACCATTAATATACATCATTTCTTGTTTAAAAAAAAAAAAAAAAGTGGAAGAAGAGTTACTTTTGACCATTAATATACAAAATTTCTTGTTAAAATAAGAAGAAGAAGTCAATTCGTTTAGTTTTTATCTTTTTTATTCAATAAAGGTTTTTGTTTATTATAAAAAAACAAAAGTTTTTATCCTTAGTTTTGACCATTAATATACATCATTTCTTGTTTAAAAAAAAAAAATAGAAGTAAAGAGAAGAGTCGTAGTTTTGACCATTAATGATTAATATACATTATTTCTTGTTTTAAAACAAAAAATAAAAGAAAAAGAAGAAGAAGAAGAAACAAATGAATTAAACAATGCATAAAGAAAGAAGAAGAAGAAGCAAATGAACTAACCAATGCATAAAGAAAGCTGAACCAGGTAATGAGGGCCCTATCCAATTCTGCAGCCAAAACCTGCAAGTTCATATCATGTCTTAGTTCAGGAACCACATATGATTATATTATTGGAATTATTATTATTATTATTATTATTATTATTATTTTACGTATACAGGAATTGGTAGGTGACCTTGACCTGCAGAATAAAGGTTATAGACAGTTAACTAGATTAGCAAGTATTAACTGAATCTTTGACAAAGTTCTTTATTCATAAGAAGCAACTTTATTCACGAGACCAAGATAAAGGGGAGCAGAACCGAGGGTCAAGTAAACACCTCAAAAGAACCCAGCGCTCAACTAAAGGAACCTACATGGTTACGCTCATGGAAAAAATCAACAAAAAAACCTAGAGAAAAAGGAATAGCTCCATTGCCCAAAAGCACAGAGAGCCAGGAATACAGTATTCTGCCATTTAAAGTGTCCTAATAGACCGTACACTAAAAGTTCTATTTCCTTCCCTTCGCTTTACTGCAGAGGTTGATGCACATGCTTGCATGCATACAGAGAAAAGTGTCAGAGGTGCCGTCTTATTCAAAAAAAGAGAAAGAACCTCCTAAACAAAATAATAGAAAAAGAAAAAGAACAAAAATACTATCGCCAACACACATTTTAGGTATAACAAAAGAACAAAAATACTATCGCCAACACACATTTTAGGTGTTATACGTAAATAAGGGCACCACATGACTAGTCCAATGCAAAGAGAAGTTACCCACATCCCATCTGGCTGGGCTCAATCATCATTTTAATGAAGACAGCAATGGTTGGCAAAAAATTAACCATTAAGTACCTTTTCAAAGATGATCTAGGAAATGTTGCTTGCAAGACAGGGACCAAAACCGCCTCAGGTGGATATAAAAAAGTTTTCTCATAAACTGCTTTATTATCTAAAGTTCCCTTCTGATCAGCTCTTTCCAAAGCAGTTGACTCGGCGACATGATGCTTTGGCACATTCCTGTTGGACTTTGAGATTGAATGCAGTCGCCCGTCATCTCCAGATCTATGGCAGCCAAGGGTAACTTCTACATAGCAATTTTGGCCCCCCAGTTGACAACCAGAACCTTGAGAAACATGATTTGCTAGACCAATAAAACCATTTGAAGCCCTAAGCTTGCTGGAACTGTTTAAAAATAGAACAAAACGAGTCAGAGTTATTTTTCATATACCCAGAATGATGATCAAGACAAGTACGGTGAAATTTCAACGGTAAGAAAAATAAAAATAAAAATAATTAAAAAACCTGAAGTACAACTGTTTCACAAGATCATTAGAACAAGATCCAGTAAGCCTGCCACGTATTCCATGAGGAGAAACTATCACTGTGCAAAAGTACAAAGTAAAACAATATTAAAAAGATGTGAAATCCCAACTACTGGCAAAGAGAGGAGAGGAGAAACGAGGACAAAAAAGGGGTGCTAGGTGGGAAGGGTGGAAATCTGGAAGGTGAAAAAGGTAAAAAAAACCTGGAAGTCTGTAACTAGTAAAATTTGAAGATTGCTTTGATACTCTCTCTAAGTCAGCACTCGAAAGTGCCCGGATATGCCTAGAAAAGATAAAAGATAAAAGATAATGTCATGGCAAAAAATAATAAGAGTTTAACATGGATGATAAATTCTTCCAAACAAACACACAAGGTGTGAACTTCAAGTACTTTGAGGATATTATAGCATGCACATAAATTCCTTCCTCGGTGGCAGCAAAGATAAATTCAACTGTAGGCTGACCTCTCCTACAAAACACAAATACGCAATAGTCATACATAAGAATCCAACTAAAAAACTGATTTTATTTTTATTTAAGTATGAAACCAAAGTTTAATTTATTGAGGAAAGAAAAAGAAAATTACAAGTAAGGACAAGCTGCCCCCAGAACACAAAAGAAGGGGGAAAAAAAAAAAGAACAGCTTGAACAGATATAATGTTGTCTTTATATTGATAGTGTGTAAAGTTATTTAAACAAGGAGATGTAAGAAAATGGTGATTTTTTGCATCATTTTAGAATTCTAGGAATCACTCCTGGAAACTCTGTAGCATCACACCTAAAAGGGCTGGCTGCATCATGCAAACTAAAATGAGGATATTATCTTGTAAAAATTCTGTACTGCCTCAAAACTAAGGGCTTACAAACATGTATAGAATATAACACGGATACCAAAATGAGAATATTACCTTTTAAAAATTATGTACATTACCTCAGAACTTAGGCTTACAAACTTGTATTTGAGCTAAATATAACATGGACAAGTTCCAAGAGAACACTACTCGAGAGCTTGGACTAATTTATTGACCCAATACAAAAAAAAATAATAATAATAATAATAATAATAATAATAAAATAAATGATTAACCATGAATCTATGACTTTTAACTAAAACCCTTAGATTAAACTCTTTATCTTCACATTCAAGTGTGTTAACCACCTAGCGCTAGTAAGTAGTAAGCTACAACCAAGACAGTCCATACTTAATTTGAGAAATCTCACATCGTGGAAAAAAAACGATCCCAGAAGAGGTGTCAAACTATTCAGTATGTGAATATTTGATTCAAAACGGAAAAATTTTTCAAAGTAATAATGACTAATGTTATCCTTATTGAAATGATAACATCACCAACATCACTACACTACCAGAAGTAATATATTCAATTTATTAATGCAAACGCCTACTGCTGTCACTGGTCATCAACACACGATCACACCATACCTGAAAATTTCTTCACTTTGAGATGATGGGCGGAACTTTGAAAATACATCTCCAAATCTCACATAGGAGAGTCCATGAAGAGCTCTGTGAATTGGAGGAAGAAACTGTTAATGCATAATTATGATGAATTTTGCTTGGATTTTCAGAGATGAATGAATGATAACCTTTCAATGCAATTCCTTAAAGCCTGTGAAAGAGCAGCTGCAACCTCTTCTGAGTCTCCAGGAGCCAACCAGAGCCCAAATTTAACAACTTCCTCGAAACAAATTAAAACATTCTCAATGCATAACATAAATATTGTATCCTAAAAAAGTTGAGAAATTGGACAAAATCAGTACATGATTCACAGGATAAGAATCGGCAAAACTCAGTGACCAAAGTAATCGTCTACAAAGTCGTTACACAACTCACCAGATATATATATATATATATATATATATATATATAAAACATGAATTACACAACTCACCAGATAAAAATCATAAAAACTTAGAGAAGAAGTGGTACCTCTTAGCCGAGATACAGCAGCTTGAGCAGACTCAACGACAGATGAATGTTGTCCAGGAAGAAAAATCCACAACTTGATTTTCTCATCTGTGCATTTTTTATGCATAAATAAAAGTTGACAAAACTCTAGCCACAAACTCAGAAATTGAATAAAGAATGCATAAGAGACTACTAACCAGTAAACTAACCTCATAACCATCAAGTTCCTATCAAAAGTTCTATTAAAGAAAGATTGTCGCGTACAGTTAAGATTATAATACTATAATTTCTTTCTTTATTTTCTTATTACCAAGTTACAAACAGGCATGCACTAAATAGCCATAAATGAACACCTCACCAGGATTATGCAAACCCTGTGATGGATCCCAGGGTCCGACAAAGGAATTAGTACACGTGCTAAGAAATCCTTCCTTCTGCAACTGCAGATGCGATGAAAGCACCAGCATCGTAGCAGCATCTTTATGCTCCCCTTTCACACCGCTTAACATGCAAATGAAATTTAATTTCAGTGATGTTTAGAACATGTAACCAGAAAAACATATTCTCAATTACAATCATTTGAGTAATACCACATCTCAATTTTTAACCGAGAAAACTGCCCCGGAACTAACCTTTTATCGGGTAGCGAGTTCCAATCTGATTCATGGGGAAGAAACTGGAACCATGATATTTGACGAAGACCTCCCTGCATAGTCATATAATTTTATAAATCCTCAAAAAAACCGATAGTGGGTATCATAGGAAACTTAAAAAAACAACAGGGAATAGCTCCCCTTTCCTCATGCAAACAAGAAGAGTAGCTGAACCAATTCATTCAAACAACCAGGTCATGAGACAAAGGAACCTATAACCAGGAGAATGTAACAGATACTCCTAAACAAGACGTACATGACCGGGGGCTCTAAAGACTGTTAAAAACATGAGGTCTAAAGTCATTTGTCAAAAACAAGAGTGCCCACAACTCTGCAGGGCTAGTTGAGGGGCCAGAGGTCCAACTCCTCAAAGCTACCTATCAGGTGAAATAACCACAACTTTTGAACTTCCTAAAAGTTATCGGGTATCGGGTCCTCCATTTAACATTGGGATTCAAGGATATCACAAAAACAACAAAAAATAATGCCAGCATTACCAAATGAGTCCTCCCTTATTGACCACGGCTTAGACCATCAGAGACATACATTAGGCAGTCTAATGACTAAAGCAATATCCAAAACAAGTTTTTTACCATAATTAAGCATCCAAATCCTAAGTCAAATCCTAAGTCAAACATATAAATGAACTAAACCAAACAAGTAAAATGAACCTTCACGTAAATACAACTGGACAAAATAACAGGAAGAAAATACACACCAGAAACAAAAGACCCTTAAGTTTTTTTTTTTTTTTTTTAACTTTAAGAGAGAGAGATAAGAGTGAAGGAACTTACAATTTTGAAAATATTAGTCAACATCTCCTCAAATGTCTATCTGGTCTAAAGCTTTCTCAACTCCTTTAATCCTTCTATTCTTGGAAATCTTCAAGCATCATTAAACCTGCAAATATTGCCCAAAGCTTTTCATAAACAGTATACGAGCCAATAACAAAAAACAAATACTGAAATAATCATGTTTCTTTTGTTTTTTTTTTTTTTTTTTTGAGAAGAAAGAAAGTATCATAAGATACAATCCATGGTAGAAAGAAATCCAACTAAATAATGTATTTTTCTATTCAAAGAGCAAGTAAGAATAAATCAGGTGATGTTAGGAAAACAATAATAAGATTATTTAACTGCCTGAAAGAAGAATAAAAACAAAAAGATCATAAGATTAATAGGCTATTGAAGATACCATTTTGAACCTGCAAGATATAAAAAGTATGAAAAAAACTAGATTATTGAAATTTTAAGAAAACAAGAGGGATGAACTTTATCTTATATTGAGATAGGATTGTGATGACTTTGGAATATGAGTTAAGCAAGATGTTAATAAGGATATTGGGATTTATATTCAACCAAAGTTGAATGCTAAACCGCAGTTAAATTACCAACGTATATAGAAGATTGCAGTATTCAACCAAGGTTGATTTTTATTTTTTTCTTTACTTCATATTTATATATATATTTTTTATTTATGTAAGAGGGCGTAAGGAAGGAAGGCCTTCCTTACCAGCCTCTTTTAAATATATAGCAAAGTAAAAGACTTTTGGGGAATCAATACCACTAAAAACCAATAATAAAAATAAGACTAGTTGTGATAGATATAAGAGTAGTTATTGACTTTTGAAATATAAAAGAAACCAATGAAATGCAGTTATCCTAATAAGGGAGAAATTTTTGAAAATGTTTGAGATAAAATGGAGGGAAAATTTTTTAATAACTATTCAAAAGTAACTGTCTATATTAGCAGACATCTGTAATCAGAATAATAGTAATAAGATTTAACATTAAAAAGAGATTAAAATATATCTTTTAAAGAATTATGAAGATGAGAAAGAGTAAGTTGTGAGGATTTTTTTTTTTTTTTTAAGGACTTGTGAGGAAAGTTAAGTAATGTAGCATTTAGAAAATCATTAAAATTTTCTGTTATTTAGTGATAAGTATTGAATATAAATATAATGATAAGAAGTTGTCATCATAATAACTAAATAATATGAGTAAAACTTTAAGAAAACTATTGAAACACCCATAAGGAAGACTACTTAACTCTTTCATGAAGAGACTAGTGAAACTTAAGAGGAAAGAATATTGCACTAACGAAAGAAAAATGTGATGTGCGAGAATAATATCAGTTGTAACAAAACAGAGAAAAAATCTAAGAGTAAAGTATACTATGATACAAGACAATGGCATAGGTTATTATATACAGATAGACAGTACCATGTGTAGCAAAATGTGAGTCAATTGGAAAAATCAATTAGGTAAAGGAACAAGCATAAAACCTTGGCATAATGCAACAGGTGCAGAAACAAACTGAAGAAAAACCAAGATAAAAAAGGATAATATTTCAAGAAAAAAAATGCCATATAGTGGGAATACATATGGATTACAGAAGAAGCTCCAACCAAATCTAGTTACCAAACAAAGAAAGAGGAAAAGAATCCCAATCTATACAAATCATCAAAAACCATTCACACAGTGCTTAATACAAACACTCGATCTATAACATATTCAGGTCAGTATCGATACTACTATACTATTATAGTAAAGGCATATATTAGTCAGGAAAACATAAAAGAAATTGTAGAACTTCACTACTTTCTAAAGTAATGGGAAGATAATCAATACATCACACTAAAACAATCAAATTATACAAAGTAGTAACATACTCTAATTGAATTACCAAAAGAAAACACAAATTTACATAAACAAACTTCTCAATGTCAAAAACAAATCCTTAAGATAAAGCAAAATATGAACAAGCGATGGTAAAAAATACTTGTAAATCAATGAGATGAGACTCAAACCGAGAGGATCCAATTAGTGATTACAGGCAATGCTGCGTTAGAACCGTACAGAATCACTTCCAATCAAGGGAGATCGGAGATATCACTCAGCACCAAACAAGAGTTGAACACAACTTTCAAGATAAAAGTAAAGGATTAAAAGGTAAAGTAGCATTATATATTTTCCATAGGCAGGCAGAAGAGAAGACAAAAATGATTAGACAGACAAAAAAACCACCACAAAGGTTATAAGACAATGGATACAAAGGATTCGTATATGGAAGAATTAAGGTTACATGATACAACTAAAAAGAGAGAATTTGTTAGATTTTCCAAACAAACATATCGAAAGTTTCAATAAAATCAGATAGAGAGAGAGAGAGACAGACCTTTAAAACTCAGGAACGCAGGGACCAGAATGAGAGCAATCGAAGGTGACGTTACTTCCTCGGGGTTTCTTTGAAACTCAGCAGAACTCTACCCCCAATTCCTCCGATTTTATTTGTGCGAATTCGAAGAAGAAGAAGATTTGCTGCCGCTGTAAATGTAATGGGAACCTTTGTTGCTGTGTTTCTGAGTTTGGCTGTAAATGTAATGGGAACCCTAGTCCCAAAACGCCAAGCGCGAGTTAAGTCTCAGACAAAATCCCCACCGCTGAAAGCAATGAATATGAGTAAGTAATAATAATTACGTTTCTTCGAAGAATTACGAATTCGAACCCAAAAACTTCACTAATTGACCAACAAAAACTTTGACAGACTTTAGTCAGAGCTTATAGAAAAAGAGAAATTGAGAGCCACGAATCCAGAAAATTCACATAAAAATCCACAGTATAGATAGATATACATGAAGTATAATTATTCAACTTTGATCAAGTGAGAATAAAGAGAGAAGAGAGAGAGTTGTTGTGGTTATTGGAACCTCGAATTTCCGGAAGAGGCGAAGACAACAAACAGAGGAGACGACATCGACAACGAAAACGACGATCGGAGGAGGAGAAGACGACGATCGGATGGGGTTGTGTCGTTCGGACGAAGTAGAGGAATTTCGTTAATTTGGGGTTTAGGGCAGAATCTTAGGAATAGGAACGGTCGTCTTTCCGAGGTTTGTTTCAAACGAAAAAGAAATTAAAAAAAAAATGTTAATCTCGTATGTGCCCTAAACTTTTAAGATTATTCTTAACTTTATCTCTTTACCTTTTAAATTTTAAATTACTCCTAATAAACTCCATTTGTTAGGAAGGGTTATTTACATTTTTATGCCTTATGTTTCAAGTTTACCTAAAGAGTATATCTTTAGTTTTTTATCTCATCAAATATGCAGTATTTTTCTCTTTATACCTGATCTCAGTCAACATTTAATTTTAACCTCAAAATGCCCAAAAAATTGAAAAAAAACAACTTACCCTTGTTCTTTTTGATAACTTAAGTTTTATTATTACAGTATTTTTTCTTACAAAAATTGAATTCAAATTTTTACTACAGTGTTTTTCTCTCACATACGCAACTCAAGTTCTCAACTTGAATTGTGAAACAAACATAGGCCGTGTTTGGAATTGATCCCTTTTTGTTTTTCACATTTTTCGAGAGAAAAAAATGAAAACGTTTTGAAAACAGCGTTTGACGCAATAAAGACAAAAAACGGAAATAAAAACGATTTTTTAGTTTAGTGTAAAATGGGAGAGAAATGAAAAACGGCTTTTAGTCGTTTCTCATTTTTTGTTTCTGTTTTCTCCTCTCTCGAGCGCAGAGAGAGATAGAGGCATTAATGGATTTTTTTATACTGAAAACAATATCTTGATAAAACTACCAAACGCATTTTCAAAAATGATTTCTATCTGAGATTGAAAACATTTTCATTTCTATTTTCATACAAAAAATAAAATCATTTTATAACGAGTTCCAAATGCACCCTTAGTCGTTTTTCATTTTTTATTTTTGTTTTCTCCTCTCTCGAGTAGAGAGAGACATTAATAGTTTTTTTTATACTGAAAACAATCTCTTGATAAAAGTATCAAACGCATTTTTAAAAATGATTTTTGTCTAAGATTAAAAACGTTTTCATTTTCATTTTCATACAAAAAATAAAATAATTTTAGAATGAATTCCAAACACGTCATAATTTTATAAATTTTAAAAGTCTGTGAAGGAAAAAGAAAAAGAAAAAACACTCTTCACACAAAGACGAAACATATCTCATTCCCACCCTTCCGCCATTTCTATCTTAGCCAGCCACACTATTGCAATGGCCTTAACCTAGCACCAGCACCACCGCCTCCGCCTTATTATTGGTTTTTCAAACTTGCAACAAGAGTCGGCTCTCGAAATCCAAGCCAACCTTTCATGTGCTTAGGGATTTGGGTGGGGAGAAGAGTTATTTAAGTGAATGAGTAGGTCAGACAGCCGCCTGGGATCACAAGAAGAACGGTGTGAGGAGGATTTGCCTAGGCTCACACAAGGAGGATCATTGGCCGTCGCCTCAGTTCGTGCGGGGACGATCATTTGATGGTGAGGAAAGGGCCGACAAAGAGAGGTGAGAGCCTGCGACGGCTTAGTAGGGCGAGGTCAAGGTTAGTGGTGGTGCACCATTTGACAATGGTCACGCAAAGAGTGATGAATATCAATATTTACATAAATATCGGTACTTTAATTTTAGAGAAATATCGATATCGGTGAAAATTGATTTAAAAAACAAAAATTTATATTAAAATATTTTATTTTTAAATGAGATTTTAAAAAAATCCCAAAATAAATGATAATACATTATTTAGATAAAACTCTCAATTAATATTTTGATAAATATACATAGTAAAGTGTGATTATAATGCCATAAATGCTAAGTACATGTTCACAAATTAAGTAAAAAAAAAAAAAATGAAGGTTAAGTTCACATAAAAAAGAAAAAACAACATAACTTTTACATTTTCAAAAAGTAAACTGAAAAAGTATATAAAAAGTTGCATAAATTTCAGTGAAAATTTTACCGATATTTCAACGAAATTTTCATAAAATTTCCACGATATTCAGTAATTTAAGACTATTTTTCTCAAAAATAAATATTTTCGTAAGAATATCAATATTTATAAAAATCTCCGTGAAATTTCATAATATTCTGCGGAAAATATACTACACTATTATTTCCATATCAATACTTCTGAAATAGATAAATTTTTGCAAAAATTTCAATAAAAATGTCGATTTTTTCATCCTTGGTTATGGCCTGTTGAGGTAACATTAATGTGGTCGTGAAGATTTAAATTGGTGGAAGTGTTAGGGTTTAGACATTGTTTATAGATTAAGGGCTAAGATCAAAGCATATAATGATCAATGATTGAAATTTTTTTGGGTGTTTTAGTAAATTTAAATCATTGTATATATTTGCACCTTTTAGTTTTTGGAATTTTTTTTTAAGGATATCATTTTTATGGGAAAATTTCATATAAGTATACTATGTTTTAGCGTAATTGTTTTTTAATACCTTGTGTTTTTTTATATTTTAAATTGGTACCTTGAATTTTTCTAAATTATTTTTTAATACCCGAAGCGCTTTTTGGAATGTGAATTGTCATTTTTATTATTCTCATTAATCAAATAGAAATTAAATTTCTCAAAACATATTTTAAAAATGCTTTAAATGTATTGAGAAATAAAAAAATTCTAAAAAAATCTCTCTCTCTCTTTTCTCTCTATCTACAACAAAATCCCCTCTTCATAAAATTTTCACGATATTCAGTAATTTAACACTATATTTTTCTCAAAAATGAATATTTCCGTAAGAATATCAATATTTACGGAAATTTCTATGGAATTTCATAATATTATGAGAAAAGGATACTGCACCCTTATTTCCATATAAATACTTCTGAAATACATAAATTTTCACTAAAAATTTCAATAAAAATGTCGATTTGTTCATCATTGATTATGGCTTGTTAACATTAATGCGGCCATGAAGATTTTAATTGGTCGCATTATTAAGGTTTAGACATTGTTTATAGATTAAGGGATTGAAAAGTTTATGAGGTTTTTAGTAAATTTAAATCATTGTATATATTTGCTCCTTTTATTTTTTGGAATTTTTTTGAGGATATAATTTTTTATGGGAAAATTTTATATTAATATATTGTGTTTTAGTATAATCATTTTTTAATACTTTGTGTTTTTTTATATTTTTAAATTTGTACCTTGATGTTTTTTAAAATAATATTTTAATACCCTGAGACACTTTTAAAATGTGAATTGTCATTTCTATCATTCTCATTAATCAAATAGAAATTAAATTTCTTAAAACATATTTTAAAAATGCTTTAAATGTATTGAAAATAAAAAAAATCTAAAAATCTCTCTCTCTCTCTCTCTCTCTCTCTCTCTCTTTCTCCATCTACAACAAATCCCCTCTCTCCTCCTTCTCTTTCTTCCCCTCTCTAATTATCCTCCTAACACAAATTTTTTCCAAATGTGTTTCTTTTTTAAGCAGCTTTCTCACATAAATAAAAGCCTCACACTACAATTCTTTTTACTTCCTACACGTGATCAACGTTTTGTTTTTGGTTTTTTCTTCTTTTTCTTAGATATTCCTTCTTGTTTTGTGATTTTTCCTTTCACTTACCCCTATTAGAATAATTTTTCTCAAATACATCCTCATTTAAATAAAGATAGCTACTATGTCTTCTATTATTTTATTTTTTCGATCAAAACAATGTTTGTTTGATCAAAGCCCTTTTTCTTCTCTTTTTATATTTTTAAATCTTACATTTTAATTATGACTTATTAAAGTAATTGTTCTCAAATATATGTATATACTAGTTATAAACACACGCTCCACGCGTGCATACTGTGCTTTTTTATATGAAAATCTAAATTTTCTTCTATTTTCGTGTGCTTATTTATTTCTCTTCTAACAGTTGAGTTCAATAAAAAAGGAGAAAGAGTTTAGTAAAGCAAATTTAAAAGGAAAAGGAAAATTTGATATTATATTCTTATATGGTTCATATAAAATACGTATTTGAGAAGTTGTATGACAATAATGTATACATATGAGAAAAAATTATTCGAGGAGAGCAATCAGTGAGAAACAATTACGAAAACTACTTTTTAAAAAAGAAAAATGTTTCGGTAAGTGAACATTTGAAAAAATTTATTTATAAGATTAAAATATTTAATAAGTTCGTTTGAAAAGTAACAAAAAAGGAAAAGTAGCAGAAAAGCGAGTAAGTAAAAAATTAAAGACCAAAAGATGTCAAGGACTAAAACCTAAAGTAAAAGGCAAAAACATGAAAAAAAAAAAAGAAAAAGAAAGTTGATCCATTAAAATCAAAATGTTATTATATAATGTTGAAGATTATTTATTTAGATACATATAAAAAATATATTAGATGGTTTAACAAAAAAAAAAGTTTAGGTAGGGACATATATGTGAAGTAATTATTCTAACGAAACAATTAGGAAAAAATATTTATAAGGATCACATTTAAAAGAAGGAAAAAAATAAGAATGTATAGTGTGAAAAAAGATAAGATTAAATAAGGGGATATAAAAAACAAAATAAATGACTAAAGAAGCACATAAAAAAGGAATAAAGACAAAAAAAATAAAGAGAAGAAAAGTAAAATCATAAATGTTAATAAAAAAATGATGAAACAGGAGATCCACTTTTGCTGCTTTTATATTTAGAAAAAGATGTGTAGACTAAAGCCTGGTTCAGTTCGCGGATTCGAGTTTTTAATTTGAGTTGAGATGTAATTTTATGTTAGAGCTCTTCACCGTAGTAAAAAAGTTAGATGTGACTTTTTGTGAGAACTTTTAACTGTAACAAAACTGTAATTGAAAACTCGAATTGATGAAATGAACGATGCTTAATAATATGGATATAGAGTTATAGATTCTTCTTTTTTCTTTTTTTGGATGGATATAAATGTATAAATTCTAAGTGAGAAAAAAAAAACATTATAAACAATTGAGTAAAAAAAAAACCTTGAGTTGTACATAAGCTTTGGACAAAAAAGGAAAAGACTAATAAAAAATTTAAGTTCGAAAACATATAAACCGAATCATTTTAAAAGGAGTAAAGTGATAAAATACGTATTTTTTAAGAAAATTAAAGGAGATTTTTTGATACGCCTAACGTATCGGTAAGTCAGGTTATTTTAATCGTTAAATTTGTGTATTTTTTAACTTTTATGTGATTTTATGTAAATTTAACAGATAAAAAACTTGACGTATCAGTATGTTAGTGTACTAGAGAAAGTCCCGAAAATTAAACTATAAAAGTGTGCTAGGCAAAATATTAAAAAAAACTAAAAAAAAAGCAAAAGAAGAACATAAATAATAAAAGGTAAAAACAAAAACAAAAGAGAAAATGAGAAGTTAAGTAATTATTTTAAAAGGAGTAAAGTGAAAAAAAAAATCATAGAAGTATTTAATATGAAGATTAAACTATTAAAAACACTTGGTAAAAGATTAAAAAAACACTAAAAAGTCTGAAGAAGAGTATCAATAAGAAAAAGTAAAAAATAAAAGCAAAAAAAGACATAATAGATGTATATGTTACAAAAGAAGGAGCAATCTAAAGGAGTAAAGTGAGAAAAATTTCATAGAAGTATTTAGTATTAAGATTAAACTATAAAAAAAAAATACTTGGTAAAAGATAAAAAAAAAGTACTAAGGGGATGTTTGTTTCTTGTATTCGTTCATGATTTTGAATCATGATCATAGTTTTCTCAAGTATTTTTCTCTTACAAAAAATACACGTAAAATGAGAATGGTTGTAAATCATGATTCTGAATCTATGAACTAAACGTCCACTAAAAACTCTAAAGAAGAATAGAAATAAGAAAAATTAAAAATTTAACAATACATAAAAGTGTCAAAATTATTTTCTACGGAGTTACCACGTGGCAGTCTCTTTACTTTTTTTTTCCTTTTTTATTATTTTATCTTTATTCTTTTGTGATTTTTTTACATTTTATTTTTTTGTGCTTTTTAAAAATAAACTGTTCCTCACTTTATTCTTATGAGAGTAATTTTTTCGCATGTGATCTTATTTTATTTTTGTTTAGTTAACATAATTTTCTTCAAATTTATCCATACTTAATTTCTTTTGTCAATTGTTATTTTTTTTACACATGTTCTTTTTTAAAATAAATTTAAAAATTCTTAAATAGTTGTATAAAAAAATTCCTCATTATTTAGTAAATAATAAGCTCTTCAGTTATCTCTAACACGACAATATGTGCGGAATACGTTACAAAACTAGTAAAAGAAGACATAAGAGATTGACATGTGGCAAAAGAATGAGTAACCTCTTTATTGTATGTTAAAAATTATAGATTATAGATGCATATTTTTTTCTTAATGGTTCTTTCAATTATTATTTATCTCGCAAACAAAACTACTATAAATTATCATTGTTTAAAGTTTTTCTCACATATATGAGCCCAATCAATAATTTTTTTTTTCAAATGTGACATTCATAAATACTTTTACTCTTCACTTTGCTAAAATCATACCTTCTCAAATTCTTAAATATATATTTTTCTTTATTAACCTTTTCAAATACTTTTTTTATATGCATCAATAAATAATTTACTCTTTAATTTGCTCTATTTAAAATTTTAATTTTCTTTTAACTATGCTCTATTTATTTATTTATTTATTTTTTACTATTTTTTTTTTACTAAACTTAAATGTAACAAGTTAAATACACGTGCGGAGCCGTGCTGTTCAACTAGTCCTTTTCCTTTGCTGGTCGTTCAAGTTTCGACCAGTCCAATCTCAAAAGGAGAGAGAACACAGTTAAACTTAAAACTCAATCCGAACTCGCATTTCCGACACACAAAAAATAAAAAATAAAAAAGCCCATCAGATCATCAACACTGCTATCTTCCGAAGTTCACTCCATTTTCTCGGAGGAGAGAGAGTTTTCTCGGGAAAGCTTTCCCATGAAAGAGGCGAGCACGAGCGAGGTGCCCCTGGGGCAAAACCTGATAAAGCTTATAAGCAACCTCTGCTTCTCGGCCTTCGTCTTCTCCGTCCTCATATTCACTGTCATCGCCATAACCTACCAGCCTCCAGATCCATGGCTGGAGTCCGCCCCAGCCCTAACCAAGCTCTTCACTCAGACCGAGAACGCCACCTTCAAAACCGACGACTCCATCCTCAAAACCGGCGAGGATTTGGTCGCCGTCGCTGCCATTTCGCCGGCGATCCCCCCGGCGGCGATTTCGAACCCTATAACGGAACTCGTGATCGAGAAATCTGAAGCCCTAATCAACGATTCGGGGACGCGGCAATTGAGCTGCGAGGATCTGGAGAAGGTGAATTGCTCGGATCCCAGGGCTCTGATCGCGATCGAGAGGTTTAATCTTAGGGTTTTCAAGTCGATTGTTTTCCTCGAGTATCAATCTCCTGTTAACGGTTCGAAACCGGACGAATGCGATGTCTCGTGGAGGTTTCGGAACAAGAAGGAGAAATCGTGGAGGAAGTACAGGGATTTCCGGAGGTTTAAGCTCGGATTCGGTGAGAATTGTAATTACAGAGTGCTTCACGCCGGGGGTTGGCATTCTGGCGTCAATGCCCGTCGATTTCGGACGAGATTCAGCAATTCGACGGCGGCTCGGGCAGGAAAACTAGCTCCTCCGGTGGTTCGGGACGAGGAGATAAACGACACGATCCCGACCTTGGGATCGGAGACGAACTTCAGGAAAGGAAGGTACTTGTATTACTCTCGTGGTGGTGATTATTGCAAAGGAATGAACCATTACATGTGGAGTTTCTTGTGTGGTTTAGGTGAAGCTATGTACTTGAATAGGACTTTTGTTATGGATTTTAGTGTGTGCTTGGCTTCAACTTATAACCCTAGTAGAAAAGACGAGGAGGGAAAGGATTTTCGATACTACTTTGATTTCGAACATCTTAAGGAATTTGCGTCTGTGGTTGAGGAGGGTGAGTTTTTGAGAGATTGGAAGAAATGGGATCGTGGGCACAGGAGGAAAGTGCCTTTTTGGAAGGTTGCGAGTCATAAGGTGACTCCTATGCAGCTAAGGAAAGATAAGAGTACGATTATATGGCGGCAATTCGATGCCCCGGAGCCAGAGAACTACTGGTATAGAGTTTGTGAAGGGCAGGCTGCTAAGTACGTACAGAGACCTTGGCATGCCTTGTGGAAATCCAAGAGGTTGATGAACATTGTCACGGCGATTAGCGGTCATATGGACTGGGATTTCGACGCGGTTCACGTGGTTCGCGGTGAGAAGGCGCAGAACAAGGAGCTCTGGCCGCACTTGGACTATGACACTTCGCCCGACATGATTCTTGAGAAGCTTAAAGGGTTGGTTCAGCCATGGAGGCATCTGTATATAGCTACCAACGAACCATTCTATAACTATTTTGATAAGTTGAGGTCTCAGTATAAGGTTCATTTGCTCGATGATTACAAGGAGTTATGGGGGAATACAAGCGAGTGGTACAATGAGACCATGAATTTGAATAATGGAATACCTGTGGAGTTTGATGGGTACATGAGAGTTGCTGTTGATACTGAGGTTCTTTACAGGGCAAAGACACGGGTCGAAACGTTCTATAATTTGACTAAGGATTGCAAGGATGGAGTCAATACATGCTGATCAGGTTGAAATTCAGATACCCACATTTATTGCTTTTTGCTCAAAATTTTATTCAGTTTCTTAATGATACGTTTTGGGTTCATTTTCAAGCTTCATTGTTGTATTTCTTTTTCTTACTCTTGGGCAATTCCTTTTGATTACAAGAAACCTATTTGTACTATATATGTAATTTAGTTTGGCCTTTTACATCACCTTTTTTTTTTTTTTTCTTTCTATTTTTCCCAATTCTCAGATGTTTACAATCTTGTGAAAGTTAATGAATTATTCTATTTTATGGTCTCTCTCACATTCTGTTCAAGATTAGTTGCTTTGCATTGTAGATTTGTAGCTCATATCTCTTTAAACCTTTTGCATTCTTCACTGAAATTGAAAATTATACCTCGTTTATGGAACCATTGCTGTTACTGCAATATTGTTCTGCTACCTGAACTTCACAATTGACAATTGTAAGAATGTTTTAGTTTGAACTACGGGTGTATTCATTCTTCAGGTCGGTTCGGGTTGAAGTCAATGCTTAGAAACCTCCAAGGAATTTTTTTTTTTGATGCCTACATCAGTGTCTTGATGTCGCACCAAACCTGGTGGTTTTGGTTTGGCTTGGTTTGGGTTTTTCGGTTTGTTGAGGAACATCCCTAGTTTGAACTTTGAAGTTTATGCGCAAAAGTAGAAAAAAAGATGCAAAAAGCACTTAGGAAGTGCCGTAGAATGTAGTGTGTTTGAAAATGAACCCTTAGATCCTTAGTAGTAATAGTATCTGCATTAGAAGTAAGTTTAAATCCGAAGAATCCTTATCTATGCCAAATTGCCAATTCTTGCTTATTTCATATATTAAATCTGTTCTTTAGCCAACATGGCAATCGAAACATAAATTTCTCCATCCAGTTGTCCTTTCATTTCTCATAAACTTCGCCAACAGAATATCAGAAAAGAACTGCAAATCAAGCAAGTTTTCTTGGGGTAAACACATCAAGCAAGTTTTCACGGGGTAAACACCAAGAAGTTTGCATTAACTTTGAGATGACAAAAGAAGTGAGCTAAAAGTTTGCGTTGTGGTTTTCCTCTACTTTCCAGCTTTGCGTTGGTGCGACTTGATGATGCTGAAGTATGTATTCCTACAGACAAATTAAATGACTTTAATGGCATAAGAAGTAGAAAAAGAAATTATTATTTACACTGTCATCTTCTGTATGCATGTCTTTGTGTATATTTGGCCAAGTCCTTGTGGAATTTGCTAGTGGATAAGGGAAAAAGAATGGTTGAAAAATGAATTTATGTGAGAGAAAATACTGTAGTATAAAAAGTTGAATTTGAATTTTTATGAGAGATAAAATTATAATAAAAACTTGAGTTGTAATTCGAACTAACGAAATAAATCGGGAATTACCTCTAGCTTGTTTATGAGCTCAGCAGCAGTTGTAGCAGAAACGACAATGGTTCTAGAAGATGGGTTGATAAATCCCTCTTCTACGCCTTTGTCAAATAGGCCAAGCAACCCGTCGTAATAACCATCAACGTTTAGCACACCCACCTGTTTCATTGAAAAGTAGAATGCTTTGGTTTGAAGACGAAGAAAGATTAATATTCGAACTCTGGGCCCAAATTTGGTGCCAAGTCATGTCATAGCAACTACTCATCAAAATAATACATAAATTATAGCTTCCTAATATTTTGGACTGATATGATTAAGAAATCCTTTAAAGTATATGCCAAAAAGTCTTGGAGTTTCAGGCATATCTTAACGGTAAATTTATGCTCCTAACTCTGATCTTTGAGATTAAAGGCGCGTTTAGAATTCGTTTTAAAATAATTTTATTTTTTGTATGCAAATGAAAAGGAAAACGTTTTTAATCTCAGACAGAAATCATTTTTGAAAATGCATTTGGTAGTTTTATTAAGATATTATTTTTAGTATAAAAAAACCCATTACTGTCTCTTTCTCTCTCTCTGCTCGAGAGAGGAGAAAACGAAAACAAAAAAAATGAAAAAATGACTAAAAGTCATTTTTCATTTCTCTCTTATTTTACATTAAATCAAAAAATTGTTTTCATTTCTGTTTTTTTATCTTTATTGCGTCAAACGCCGTTTTAGAAACGTTTTCATTTTTTTTCTCGAAAAACGTGAAAAATAAAAACGGGATCAATTCCAAACACGATCTAAGAGTTTGAATCTCCACTCTAATTTAGAAATAATACCAATAACTATACAGTAGTTTTTTAACTTCCAAAAATGCATGGGTAAAGTATGTAATTTACAAGTTTAGTTTGTGTATTTGAAATCTATTTAACTTACTGGTTTTCCATGGATTCCAAGATGAGACCAGGCTATCATCTCAAGCAACTCTTCCATAGTTCCATACCCTCCTTCATCACATCATCCAAAACACAAAAGTCCATAAATTAGTGAATAATTATATAGTAATATCAATCCATAAATTTTTTATTAGCTAAGAAAGTTTTTCTTCAAAATTTTTTTTACTTTGTTTTCTAATTCTAAAGCAATATATGCATACCAGGCAGTGCAATGAAAGCATCAGCTCTAGATGACATCTCAGCCTTCCTTTCATGCATACTTAATACAGTCAACACTTCTCCCACTGATTTTCCGGATATCTGAGAAAATTAACAGTGCCTTGTATGTACATATGTGTACAAAGATCCTTTGACCCCAGTTATTTCTTCTCGTAGTTTATTTTAAAAAATACATAATAATACATATATATATATATATATGTGTGTGTGTGTGTGTGTGTTTCTATATATATATATAGATTAGAGAGAGAGATTATACCTCAACTGGTACAAGAGCTTTGGGAATAATTCTAACAAGAAAAGGAAAACGAGAAGATAAATTAAGTCCAATCAAGTATTCCTAATATATATCATGAAGTAAACTAATATCCAAGAATAATATTAGAAAAATGCTTGCAATGGATTTTTTTTTTTATTTTTTTTATTTTTTTATACAGCACGAGATTGAACCCGTAACCTTTCTCCAATTCCCGCCTCATCCGAACCCATCTATGCCAGTAGACCCAGTGGTCTTAAGGCAAAATGCTTGCAATCTTGATTCATCCAAATTTACACACTCAACATTACACACATAAAAAGCTTCAATATTGCAGTGTGAACTAAGTTTGGCTTTATATTACTCACCCAAGAACATGACATCCACCGTCATGAACTGTTTGTGAAACCAAACCCATCAGCCCCACACTCCCTCCTCCATACACCAAATCCATCTTCCTCTCCACCTGCAATATCAATATATCAAAACTTACCCTTTTAACAATAAATAACAAATTATTAACAAAATTTAAAAATAAATGTATTCGCGCGCGAAATGAAGAGACCGAAAGAGAAAGAGAAGAGGAGTACCAATTCTCTTCCAAGATCAAGAGCTGAGTCACTGAATATTTTTTTATTCCCTGAATTGCTTCCACAGAAAACACAAACCCTTTTGAATCTTCCCATTGTTTGTCCAAAGGAGTAGAAGAATATGTAGAGTAGATATATATTAGCCTTATATAATGATGTTGAGTCAACACCACTTCTTTTCTTTTTTTCTTTTTTTTTTTTGTTTTTTGTTTTGTGTTGTTTTGTTTTTTGTTTTGTTGTTTTGTTTTGTTTTTTGATGCAGGACTTAGAATGTGTATGAGAAAGGCATTGACGATTCATGGCACATTTATATGCAAATAATTAAAGTAGTTTTTGAGTCAAAGCCGATTCTTATTTTTCTTTCTTTTCCTCTCATTGAGTCATTAATCTTAATTTTGCCTCCCATTTATGTCAGATTTGATCACCTTCCTAGAATGTAGTGATTGTGAGACATCCATCTCCTTCTATATTAATTATTATCACGCATGCATACATACATGTATACATACATATATATACTCAGACTTAAACAAAGAAAAAAAAAGAAAAACAAAGTTGGATTTGTTTCCATATTTATTGAATTCATTACCAATCATGTAATTTAATTTAAAAGAGCTATGTGATATGTAAATCAATCTATCTTATAAATTATTGTGAATAACAAAGGATTGGAAAAAGATATTGCCTATTATCGATGATTTTGGGTTCACTACGAGAGAAAAAACACACAGTTTGTTATAAAATTCTTTTTTTAGAAACCACATTTTCTGATTTTAATTAGAGCATTTTTGACAAATCATGATCCAAACACTTAGGCCCCGTTCATTTCGCCGATTCGAGTTTAGAATTCGAGTTTTGCTACAATAAAAAGCCTTCAGAAACAGTCACATCTAACTTTTTTGTTACAGTAAAAAGCTCTCACATAAAGTCACATCTCAATTCGAATTAAAAACTCAAATCAGCAAATTAAACGAACCCTTAAAAAATAGCTCATTTGGACTTAGAAAGCCGAAAACAACTTCTAAAAAGTTCTGTCAAACAGGCCTTAGAAGGTTTGAATTCCCACCCAATCCCAAAGTTAATAAAAAAATATATTAAGCATTTTTTTTTTATTAAAAATGATCAAAGCATTTTTTTTTTTTATCAAATCAAGCATTTTTTAAGTGTATTATTCTTCCATTCTCTTAAGAGTTAAATTCATGAAAAGTCTCTAAGCTCTTTTCTCTTTCTAAAATTAGTCCCTGTATTGAAAATTGTTCCATCTTAAACCCTAAAGTCTTTAACTACCTCAAATTTAATCCCTCAGTTAAAATTCTATCAAAAATTGGATGGAAAACTATAGCGATCTTGTAATTTCACTATAGATAATGAGCAATAATATGTCTTTTAATTAGTTATCATATTTATTAGACTTAATAAAGCTGTACGCTGTATCTTTATTTCTTTTTTCTTGTTTCATAACAAATTCTTTACTTATACAAAAATATAAAATAGGCTTAGCATAATATATTAATTAGTTTGCTAAAATATCACACATACAGTATACAATATTAAGTTATTAACTACATCTTTTATTGTCTAAATACATTACTCTTTCTTTGTACTTTATATTTATGTACTTTCTCGACTAAATTTTTTATTGTCATATTTTTTTTTTTTGACTTAAAACAATATGTCTCTTATTGTCAAACTTTTATTTTTTTCCTTTCTTAAATGAGTGTCTCGTTTTACAAACTTTCGTGCAAACCTCATTTATTTTTTTATTTTCTTTTTATGATTTTCATGTTCACCATACTTCATTTTTTCTTAATTCTTTATTGTCTACGTTTTCTCTTAATGCCTGTACTTCTAATTCCTTAGTTTTACTGTCCCAAAAAATAAATCATGTTTTGAATAGTTTAAGAAGAAGAAGAACTTGGGAATGGTGTATATTAAAGTCATAGTATTATTAATTTATAATTCTTTTTTAGTACAGCCTGTTTGATGAAGAAAAGGTGACAAATTTATCATTAAACTGCCACTAATTTAACGTTTTCCATCCAAATTTAACAGAATTTTAATTGATGGACTAAACTTGAAACACTCAAGGAGTTCAGGGTATAAGATAGAACAATTTTCACTACAAGGACTAATTTTAAAAAGAGAAAAAAAGTTCAAGAACGTTTCATGAATTTAGCTCTTCTTTTAATTGATGCACTCTTCAGTATCCCATCATGTAATTATGATGGGCATTGAGTTAAATACATGGTTTCCTTTTTGCCAGTTTCATTAATTTTAACTTTTTAAGTGTGCTTTTATAGGCATAGTGGGAAGTAGGAATCAAGCGTGCATTATAGACAATGATTATATTTATAGTGTAGGTTAACCATTAATATTGGGCCGCCATTGATTCTTTGAAATGATCTCATGCCTCAATTATGTTGCCTAAAAAGAAAATTTGGAATTAGTATGGTCTTAAGAAGGGAGTTTCTTTATAAGACAGTTATCAGTGATAATTTTTGATTGTTAGATCAGATTAAAATCACGTTAAATTATAAAAATATGTAGAACATACAATTTTTAAGACAAATTCAATAGCTGAAAATAGAAAATTATGGGTAGTTTATATTTTTAGTTATATAAAAAAAGATCCCTTTTAAGAATGGTGTAGGACAGTAGGAAAGAATCTATATAGCTCTATATAAGGATGGACGGATTACATATTATTAGCATTTTGAGGATGCATAACACTAATATAATTTGTATTATTGAAATGATTCAATCTAGTGATTACTTAGCCTACTTGGTGTTTAACAATATAGAATTGAGCTAGATGTATAGCACTTCAAATAGTTATAGAATACCTTCAAATAGCCTACACTCCAAATATTATCTATTATCATATTATAAAGAAGAGTTCATCTTTATGCACTATTCAAAAATTTAGTCTATCTATTTAGTCTTCTTCTTCACCTTTATATATATCAAACACTTCTTTATTACAATTGGCAACTTCTTCTTCTTCTGTTTTTTATTTTTTATTTTTTTTATTTTTATAATTTACCAAAATTATCTATTTATGCATACTAAGTGCGAATAAGTTTCACGAGAATATGTGAAATGTTTGCAAGGTTTTTGTCCTCACTATAAGGTAAATTTTTGTTTGGGGATGCTCCTTTTTTTTTTCCTTTTCTGCTTTTATTTTTATTTTTTATTATTTTTTGTTTTATCTCTTTCTTCAACAATTTGTATAACCGTTATCTTAAATGAATTACTTGCGCAGAGCGCACATTTTTAATTAGTTGGTGTAAAAGGGATGGTTGTTGAGCTATCAATTCATTTATTTGTTTCGTTGTTTCTTTTGTTGGATGAGTTTTGAATACTACTACACAGTTCCAAATAAAAGTAGACGGTTCCAAATCCTTAGGGCCACAAGATGAAACAAACAAAAATGGTTTTCATCTTTATGAGATAAGAAAAATGTTTAAAAAGCACCACCGATACTAAAGTACTATCAGTCATCACTAATAGAACTAATGAAAGGTGAGCCCCACTTTATATTAGCGAATGGTGTTTAATATTACTGGTGCCTTATAGCAATGTTTATAAGATAAAACCCTATCACTCATAAAATAGTGAGTCTCATTATTCAGAATCATGATTCAGAATCATTCTCAATTTACGTATATTTTTTGTGAGAAAAAATATTGCAACGAATCATGAACTATGATTTAAATCATGGTACGAATACACTAACTAAACACACGCTTATTATGTGAGGAATGAACCTTTGGTGTCCACTTCGATTAACAATGTCAAGTTGGAATTTTCTTCCTCTGGCAGAGAGTGGAGAGAAGAATATTATTATTTTCTTTTAAAGGACAAATAAACATATGTTGGTGATGGTCTCTTATTGGTCCATATCTTCTTCATTTTCTTGAACAATCAATTTCAAGTTTTTTTCTTCCCCTAGAAGCTAATAAATAAAAAATATAGAGAAATAAAAAATAAAAAAGAAACTTGAACAAGTTGGTTAAATGATCTTTTGCTTGCCCATGGTCACATTTTGTTATAAACAAGATGGTGTATTTTCAGGTTTATTAATTATCCCCTTTGATGATGAATTTGATACTTGTTACATGGATTTGGATTATTTGTCCAATTTTTTTTTAATTTTTTTAATTTTTAATTTTATGTTCCAAGTGATGTTTATACAACTATATTAGGTCACGTCATTTAAACAGTTTGATTATAACTCAAAAGATAGAAACATATTAATCACCATAATGTGCTTATGGCTATACCAATCAGCCGCCGACAAAAAAAAACAAAAGATGTTTTACTTTTAAGAAGTCATGAATGTCTGAAATAATTGTGGGATTGGGTTTGCATCACTTTCTCTTAAGCTGAGTGCTGATTATGGTGTTTAATTCAAATGCATGAATCTTTTTTTTTTTTTTGAGCCCTCAACCAAGTAAGGCAACAAAAACGAGAAAAAAGATGAAACCAACCAATACAAGTTCATATAGAAATTTTTGTACCAACTCCGAATTGATCTATGACAAATTGAGATGATTATCAAATGAGAAGACTTTACAAATTATGCGTATACAGTTCCATCCCTAGCTAGTAGCAGGGAAAAACAAAATGTGTAGAACCAGCAAGTGTTAAGAGATGTGGCATCGAAAAGACCACGAGCGTTTCGGATGAAGCGGCGCTATGATAAGGAAGTTAAGGGAAGACCGGCAGAAGATGCAGAATGGCGTGCTACAAACGACTGGACGAGCGGGTTTACGAGATTAGGTGCTTCATCCTTCATGCAATACCAATAAATATGAGTCAAAAATCTTGTAATCATTCATGTTAAGGAAGAATGTGGCACTTGTTTTAAATCACATATCAAACTTTGGACTGATCTTTGACTACTACTACAACAACAACAACAAGCCTTAATCTCATCTTAATTGAGGCCGGCTATATAGATTTCACTTTTTCACGCAGTTCTGTTCGAAATTAGACTTTTCTGAAGGCCTAGATCTAGAACGTCATTCCTAACTACTTCGGTCCACGTAATTCTTAGTCTACCCCTCCCTCTCCTAGTATTAGGTATAAGAATGTCCTCTCAGGCACGAACTGGTGCTTCTAGCGGTCTGCGTTGGACATGCCCGTACCACCTCAAGCGGCCTTCGTGCACCTTATCTTCTATTGGTGCTACACCTACTTTACTACGAATAACTTCATTCCTTATGCGATCCATTCTCGTATGGCCACTCATCCATCTTAACATACACATTTCTGCCACACATCTTTGACTATTTGAAATTAAATTCATGTCCACAAAAAGCTAATAAAATACCAAATATGGTCGAAGAGTGTGGTGAAGTACCTGAGGGCAGTGGCCGACATTCGGAAGCACAACGAAGTCTTCCACAGAATCGAAATTCTCGAAGGCTCTTCCAAGTTCAAGGGGTTCCCATGGATCTTTATCACCCCATGCTATCAAAACCGGACACTGCAAAAGGAAGGGAAAGGAAAAAGAGCAGCATAATTATGTAACACTGAAAGTAACATTTGAGAGTGCAAAAGATTGTTCACATGCCACTGTTCTCTTTGCTATGACTCACCTTCACCTTAGGCAGTAATTCCTCAGGAAGCGGGCCACCGGAGTAACAAATGAACTCAAGAAACACATCCACAGCACCAGGCTCAAGACCCGGCTGAAGGATGCTTTGAACTAGATCTTCTGTCACTTGGGAAGTGTCATGGTAGCACTGAAATGCAACTTTAATCAGAGGCAGCATGAAAAACGTTGATGAAATTTAGTATGCTGATTAGAACTGATGTTTAGTTTTCGACTTGAAATTTCCTTAGCATAGACTTTCCAAAATTAGTAGCCTTGTCTGCATAATACCACCATTGATCTCTTTCATTCCTGTAATTCATAGATATTTTCCAAACTCACAACTGAATACGAGATCGAGTCTGCTAGAAAAATAAACTCAATCATTCTAAGCCTTCCATTGCTAGCAACGCCTAGAGGATAAATAAATTACATCTAATTGCGGACCAAAAACAATGCGTGCGAATCGAAGAGCAAATTCATGAAAAATTGTTGGAGGACATAAGTCATACACTCAATAGGAATGATCAAACATCTTAATTTCTGTACTTTGCAGTGGAGAAGCAACCACAATAAGCTCATTTTGGTCTCAGTATGCCAATCCATTTTTGTTCTTCTCTTGAAATTTAGCAGTAAAAATCATATGTTGTTGATTGGTAAAGGAAAAGAAAATATGAAGGAAAAGGAAAATAGAGACGAAGGGGAAAGCCTTTCTCTTATTATGTTCAATATCAAACCCGTCCTCCAATCCTTCCAACTTTGGAAGGATCGAAACTGGGATTTCTAGAGGATTTTGAATCCCTCACCAAATCCCATTCTCTCTTCTCTTCCACTTTTCCCTCCTACAAAATTTAAGAATAGAAACATAAATGTGTACATGTAAAAATACCTGACAGAGAATATTCCTCACTGCTTCTGGTGTGGCAACAGATTTGAAGAAATATTGGCCCAAAGCGGTGTTCCTGCCGAAACATGTCTATTCTGAACATTAAGATGATACAACTGAACTTAAAAATTTACGAGAAAGAAACTAGTGACTCCTTTTCTATACCTCAGCAAATTCTGGAATGATCTGATAAATGGCCTTCCATACCAAGGCTGCTTTTTGATATGAAGCATTCTAAGAGAGATATTTAAAAGCATTACGCCTCTACAAATCGTCGGCTCCATAACTGCCGCCTGAAGACCAACAACTCCTAGACAAATTCCACAAAAGACATTGGAAGGGAAAGTTTCATTTCATTTTTAAGCCACAAAAGGAAATTAGTGGAACATATAGAGAAGATAGTTTAAAAGAAGAACAAAAGGCAAAGGGAGCATATTTTCTGAAAGTGACTTGGCACATAAATAAGTCATGAAATAAGAAACATAACTCAATTTCTGAGAATACAATAGACTAAATGAGCTTAAAGCTGATACGAAACTTAATAACCTCAGGATTAGTTGCCTCTATGCTTTCCCACAATGTAACAATTGGAATAGCAGCAAATAAAGCCTCGTTCATTTTACCGATTCGAGTTTAGAATTTGAGTTTTGTTACAGTAAAAAGTTATCAGAAACAGTCACATCTAATTTTTTTGCTACAGTAAAAAGCTCTCACATAAAATTACATCTCAATTCGAATTAAAAACTCAAATCAGTGAACTAAACGGGCCCTAAGAGTATAAAAACAGCCTAAAAAACAGGGCAGTGTATATCTTGGTTCTTTCATTAGTATTCTTCAATTCAATACCAGTGTCATCCGAGGATTAATAAAAGGATTAATCTCGAGTAACCAAATGTTAGTAACATAATCACCTCCGATAGAGTTGCAAATAAAGAATGCTTCATCCTTAACCACTTCCTTACAGAAATCGTTTAGCTGGGCGGCCCATGTCTCAAATGTGTAGAAGGAGGTGTCCCCAAATTGGCGAGGATTCGGTTTGTCCGAGTATCCATAACCAATAAGATCAATGGAGTACACTCTATGCATTTTCGCAAGAATGGGAATATTTTTCCTCCAGTGGTCACTGAAAGAATACAATGTGTATCATTAACACTTATCATAATAAAATTGGCATGAGCTTAAAAGGAATCGTCGAAGATTACTATAAAAAGAAAAAAAAAATTGAAAGTAAATGGGGGACTTCTTAACACATTTAACATGCAAGTAATCGAAGAGTGGGATCTCCTAGCAGAGGAAAGAAATAAGAAAGCTAAAGAGCAAGAACTTTGCAGACTTCAAAAAGCAGAAAAATCCTCTAATGTCAAGATTTATTTGATTGAAAAGAAGTTAAGAAGATAAAGCAGGCTCTCTGAGTCCCTTGGCAACACCACATGAGTATATCTTGTGGTTTGTTAAACTCATTTTTATTCCTCAAACTATAGGCCAAAAGTCCCTGACTTTTAAAGTATCCAGAGTGAGTCCCTGATCTACCAAAATTTTCCAAATTAATCCTTTCGTCCATTTGACTATTAAAATCTTAACTGAAAAAAGCATAGCTCCCTTCTCAACAGTCATTCCTTGACATTTAAAAGTACAAAATGAACGACCACTAAGCCTGCATATAGTCTGAACGTGTTTTTATTTTTATTTTTATTTTTCAAGAACATAATAATCGTATGGACAAAAGACTAAATTGGGACAATTTGATAGGTCAGGGGCTCTCCTGGGACGTTTCAAAAGTTAGGGACCAAAATGAGATTTAGCCTATAGAGAGGGGACTGAAAATGAGATTAAAACCCTTCTTGTAATGCCGATCATGATGTATGACTAGCAACTCCAAATCAAGAAGCGTTATCCAGATGTAAAACCACAATCAATAAGCATATATTCTTCTGTTTTATCATATTTCGATGGATTAGAAACAACAATAATGATCATCAATTTAAACTCAAAGCAAAAAGTGAAGAGCACAAATAAAAATTTGGTTTATGCTGTATATGTAGGAATATAGTTGAGCAAATTGTACACCGTACACACTACGCACATCAATTTAGTTGTCTGCTAAGTGAAGGAAGATTTGTGAGATTATGTAGAGGAGACCTGTTGGCTCCAAAACCATGAATCAATACTAATGCAGGGCCACTCGTTCCACAGTACTGATAGCGAATGGTGTAACCTCTCCACTTCCACATTCTACAACAAGAAAAAAATTTATTGAGGTCACAAATAAAAAATGCCGATAAATATTGTTTTGCTAGCGTATAGATGCATAACAAGGAAAAACAATCAGCGACAAAGCCAATAACTATAAATGACAAAAAAAAAAAAAGGGAGAAAAAACATTAAAAAAAATCCAAACTCATTAAAGTTGAAACAACATAGAAGGAATTAAAGTGAATTACTTGGTCTGAACTTGAAGCTCGGAACCAGTGGAGAGGCTTTTCTGGGCAATCTGATCATTCAAACGGGAAAATAAAACCGAACCACTTTTCTTAAGGCCTGAAAGTGTGTGAATTTTACGGGGAAATGAATGAGTTCCGGTGAAATTCAATGGCGGTGGAGTGATCTTCTCGGTGGTTCTTTGGGAGGAGAAGAGTGAGAAATCAAGCTTTGACAAGGGCGTAAGAGAGCTTGCGTTCGCCATGTGAGAGAGAGAGAGAGAGAGAGAGAGAAATGGGTGTCGTATTACAGAGAAGTGTCCATTGTCGTAATAATATTTTCTTCTCTGTTTCCCTTAAACGAGGACCCTGCGTTAGTTTTCTGACTGGGATTCCTCCACGTCGTCTACATGCAAATTGGCATTCCTTTTCTGTAAATAAGAATGGAAAATATATTTATTAAGATTTTATTTGGAGGAAAAGAAAAAAAAGGAAGGTATAATAGATTAAAAAAGATAAGGGATTTTGTTTGGTAGGTGAATATATTGATAAATCAAGTTTTTTAATTGTTAAATTGGTATAAAATTACATAAAAATAAAAAAATATGTAAATTCATGTACCAAAAATATCTCAAAAAGATAATAAAATTATTGAGGGGAAAGATAAAAAAAGAAAATAGAGCAAAAAAGAAGAAAAAAAGAGATGCTGTGCGAAACTTTTTTTATACTATTTATGGTCTCATATTCCGAAACTCACTTTTTATTTGTGAGTGGTGTTGAGCACTACCGGTGCTTAATAACTCTATTGTGGGTCGTTGACTGTGTGGTTTACTTGGTGGTTTTTCCCTCATCCGGTGCCCGACCGTTTCATGTTGTTTTTGATCTTTGGGTTTAAAATAATGGTGGTTTTTACCCAATTTGTTTATATCTTTGTTTAGTGTTCGGTTGTGTTTTCTATCAACTATATTTGTTACTTGGCGCGGGGATTTTATGGGGTTTTGATAACACTATATCTTTTAGCATTTATTTGAGTTTAGAGGTGAAACCGATTATTTACCGTGTTGAATTGGTGTTTGTATTATTTTTTCATTCCTTATAATGTTTCCTATTTTTAAAATAATAATAATAAAAAATAGGAGTGTGAGCCAGCATTGATTAATATTACCTTGTATTTAGTGGTGGAGATAGAAATTATTTTTAGTGAAAACACTAGAAAAAATAAAAAAGAAAATCAGAGACGATTTTTGTACGTACGAATAATATCTTCAAATATCTTCAAATATTTGGCAATATGATACTTTATATATATATATATATATATATATATTTTGTGTAAAAAACGAGAGCAAGTAAAATTTTGATTTTTTAATTTAAGCGATGGAGCAACTAAAACTTTGAGCTTTTTAAATAATATCTGGACTGCTTGTATGATAAAATAATCTTTAGTAGCATTTATCTTATTTGGTTTTGAGTTATAATTCGTATCATTAAATTATAAATAAAAGATCATGTAATTACCTATATATATAAACTATATATAACAATCCGTAATACTACTCACACTCGTCTCTCTATATAATATGTTTATGTATGATTATTTCTCTATAACAACACTTCCTAATTTAATTGGAGAATTATTCCTCTACTATATTTAATAATATATTATCGCCCTTTAAATAATGGCATCCTCCGAGACTACCTACAAGTTCTACATGTTCCATCTAGACCAACATGAGATTAATGACGATGAACGGTGTGATCTCCCTAAAGAAGGTAACTATTTTTTGTTCCGTTTAAACTTGGAAACAATCACAGCGTGACTTACAATACCCCGTCGTGAGTACTTAGCTCAGCCTTTAACCCTAACTTGCGAGATGCTCATGTCCAAGCTAGGCTTGGCGAGCGAAGAGGCTGAGACTACTTTGCGGCGAAGTCAACCTCTTTTATTAGAGAGGTCACCAAGGAGGTTACCAAGACTAGTACAGACTCTAGAATAGAGGCTTTTGCCATTTATGTTCACATTGTGATTCCGAGCAACGACGACATCGTCGGGGAAGATCAAGATGAGATTGAGCGTGCCACAATGGAATCGGAGGATGAGTTCCAGATGGTTCTGGCAACTGAGTCGTCTATTTAGGCGTTGAAGGTCGAGAGTTCGGGAGGCATAAGAACGACAGAAAAATATTGCAGTATTTGTTTGGAAGGATACATGTCGAATATTGATCAGAATAGTGATGATGATTCTAACAACAAGATCGCATGGATGCCATGCTCTCATTTTTATCACAAAGATTGCATCGTCCGGTGGTTACGCCTAATTCAACTTAACAAAACCGGCTTGTTAGGAGAGGATTGCCCTCACCTTATTAAGTGGATCATGCCAATATCTCCAGCCAATGTGGGATTCTAATACCCCCCCTCACGTAGATCGTGGACCATGCCAAACCGCTGCGAATAAGTCGATATTGGGGGACCCAACATTACAAAACTGAGCCTACTTTGATACCATTTTACAGAATTCAAAGGATGTTGAGCCTAACTCAACCTAACAAAACTGGCTTGTTAGGGGATGATTGCTCTCACCTTATTAAGTGGATCATGTCAATATCTCCGACCAATGTGAGATTATAATACCTTGAGCTATATTCTATTTATATATAAATATATAAATATATATATATATATATATATTTATATATTTGTGAGCCATAGCAGCCACAATGTCAAAGCTCAAGATTCTCGTGATTCTCAATCAGCGCATTAGTACTGATATAATACGAGAGACAATCTCCGGCTGCCCTGATCTTGAGTTGTTGGATATTCGAGGTTGTCTGCAGGTGAAACTCGACGACAAACTTGTCGAGAATTTCCCGGCCGCTCTGAAGATTCTTGGACCAGGACAAGACCACTATGATTGTTACTCAGGAATGTCGTTATCACCTACCATATTCTTTCTCATCTTAACCGAGATGGATTTTTCCATATTTGACGAAATCGAGTCCTAACTTGCAGCGATGATGTTACTGCAGAAGGCAGAAATTATATGTGAACTCTTGTTTCTCTTAATACTATGGTTTTTTTTTTTTTGTCACATGTCTGTGAAAGGAATATTACCCTTTATAAGCCATGATTCAAGTACTTGTTATTTAAACATCAATTTCTAGTCACCTTTCCTTTATTATGCAACTGGTTAGAGCACACACACGTGGTAACTTTATTTTCTAAGTTACAAGATTAAAGATCACTTAACTCAAACAATAAACTTCAGTTTTTGAAAAGTATAATCATTGTTGGAAAATGAAATTTTCTTCTGGGCACCATACCGAAGAAATTGCAAAATTTCCCTCCTAGACTAATGCAATCCTGAAAAATAATGAGTTTAAATGAGATAGAGGAGACACCAAGACTAATAGTCGAAAGCGGACGCAATAGGCACTGAGTAAATTTTAGCCATTTTATCTCTCTTACAATGCTAATATGTCATATATATTGTTCCCAGATTCGTGGGGGAACATATGTGAGCCACGCCTATAGGCCCCTAAAAGTGTAGAATGATGTGTGAATACAAAGGTACGGACATAATGCACATGATTAGAGATAAACCAGAAGAAGATAACTATCAAGCCAAATTCAAATTCAAACAGGAGATAAGATTTAGAGAACCAGATCTAATAAAAATAATCTCATCTTCACAAGTCAATTTTCGAAGATGATCTCTTGAGATCTCATTCCAAATGGTGCCGCGCATTTGAAAGTATTGGAAGTGTATCGTGTTGGCGGTTACTGTGGGTTGGCCCTGTGGTGTACTCGGTGCTTTTCTCCTCATCCGCCGCTTCGACCTTTTCATGTTGTTGAAATTTTTGTCATTCTTGTTTGTGGTTGTTTTTTTCCTCTCTCCTTTTTTGTTTTGTTTTTTCTTTGGCTTTTTTTGCCCTTTCCTTTTTGGGTTTAAAATATGTGGTTTTACCCTACTTTGCTTATATCTTTGTTTAGTGTTCCGTTGTATTTTCGGTAAGCTAGATTTTGTTACTTTATCAGTTTATTATGGGGTTTAGTAACACTGGGTTGTTATTTTATGACAAAATTCAGAAAAAATTTAAACTCGAGTTACAACTTTATTTAAGTTCATGTTTTTTTTTTGTAAAACTTGAATTTGAACTTGAGTTAAACTTGAGTTTGAACTCGAGTTTGAACTCGAGTTTGAGGCTAAACTCGAGTTCAAGTTTCCCATTCAACTCGAGTTCATAAACTCGAACTCAAGTTAATGAACAATATTTTTTCTATTATTAAAAATGTCATAACTTTTTCGTTTAAATTCTAATTGAGATAATTTTTTTTATGCATTCACAACGAAAAGACGAATAAACCCCAACCATATACCCTATTAAAATTTTTCATCACCATTGAATTTTTATTAAAATACTATCTAAATACAAATTTAAGTTTTAACTCACCCAAACACAAACTTAAAAAGATTCTCAATTCAAATCATAACTCAAATATGCACATCCAAACACAAACTCAAGTCACAACTTCAACTCAAGTTACAACTCAAACTCAACTCAAAATCATCACTCAAATCACCCTAACTCAAAAATACAAAAGAACAGCCCCAACTCAAGTTATATCTTTTAGCATTTCATATGAGTTTACTGGTAGAGTTAGAAATTATTCTTAATGTAAATACTGAAAGAAAAAAATTAGAGACGATTTTTATATTTAAGAATAATATCGTTATATATTTCAATTATTTGACGGATCATACAGTTATAATTATTATTTTTAATTATATTTTGTAAAAAAAAGGGAACATGTAAAATTTTGATTTTTTAAAAATCAAGATTTTTAAATTTTAGCGATGGAGCAACTAAAATTTTTTAATTTTTTAAATAAGATTTTTAAAATGAGGGACCTACTATCTAGACTAGCTCGTATGATAAGATAATCTTTTTAGTAGCATTTATCTTACTTGGTTTAGAGTTATAATTCGAATCATAAAATTATAAACAGAAAAAAAAACATGTAATTATCTATATTAACTATATAAAACAATCCGTAGTACTACTCGCACTCCTTCTCTCTATATATAATATGCTTCTGTATGATTGTTGTGATCCTCTATTATTAGTAATATATAATCGCCCTTTCAATAATGGCGTCCTCCGAGACTACCTACAAGTTCTACATATTCCATCTAGACCAACATGAGATTAATGACGATGAACAGCGTGATCTCCCTAAAGAAGGCAACTATTTTTTCTTCCGTTTAAACTTGCTTCATGTCCTTAGTTCCAGAATACCAGGCAGAGACATATACTTGGAAACAATCACGGAGCGACTCATAATACCCCGTCACGAGTACTTGGCTCAGCCTTCAACCCTGACTTGCGACGCGCTCATGTCCAAGTTAGGCTTGGCAAGCGAAGAGGCTAATTACTTTGCGGCCAAGGCAACCTCTTTTGTTAGAGAGGTCACCGAGGAGGTTACCAAGAATAGTGCAGACTCTAGAATAGAGGCTTTCGCTATGTACGTTCACATTGTGGCTCCGATCAACGACGACATTGTCTGGGAAGATCAAGATGAGATTGAGCGTGCCACAATGGAATCGGAGGATGAGTTCCAGACGGTTCCGGCAACTGAGTCGTCCATTCAGGCGTTGAAGGTCGAGAGTTCGGAAGGCATAAGAACGACGGAAAAATATTGCAGTATTTGTTTGGAAGGATACATGTCGAATATTGATCAGAATAGTGATGATGATTCTAACAACAAGATCGCATGGATGCCATGCTCTCATTTTTATCACAAAGATTGCATCGTCCGGTGGTTACGTACCTCTCACTTGTGCCCCATCTGCCGCTATGCCATGCCAACGTCACCTTGAGCTATATTCTATTTATATATAAATACACACACACACACACAATATATATATATATATACACATGTATGTATACACACACTAGCTCCGCAGCTAAATTCTGATTAATGAATTTCACTTTGAAAAAAAAAAGTAGGGATTGGTTATTATTTTCGTTTCTGTCTCGTCTCTTTTTCTTTTCTCGTGTCCCATTGCCTAATTGCTCCAACCTTGAGCTTTTGCATGGTCAGTTTCGGATATCCGTTTTTTTTTTTTTTTTTTTTTTTTTTTTTTTTTTTTTTGGGAGATATATATCTACATGAAACCTTTTTATTTCAAAAGTTTTCACTAACCCATCTTTTTATCTTTTATCTTTATCTTTTGAATTAAGATAGAAGATAGAATATCAAATCAAAATTTGAATTACCGTAAAGGTTGTGACTATTATCCCATGTAACTAGTAAATAATGACCTTTCTAAATTAATACTTCTACCATGACTTGGCATCGAATAAACAAAAATACAGGATAATAATGGGTGAATATTCACACGTTTTAATTTGTTTTATAAATTTTTTTTATTGAAGTCAAAAGCCGAGTTGTATTGACAAGATTTGTACTGGACAGTGAAAGGTAACATCCCAAAGTAGTATTCTATTTAGGGCATATTTACTTTGCATTAAAAAAAACAAAAAGAGAAGGAGGGATTCTTTTTCTCATTTAATAGTGTATTTACTTATAAAATTAATAATAAAGATTTAGTGAGCCCTACACAATTCTTGTACCCCCTTAATATTGATTCCTTATCAAAGGGAATGAATACTTAATTTACTTATCTACCCTTAATAAATTACTATACAATCATTGATTATTTAATTGTATAATATGACATTTTAGTAATTACATTCATAACAATACTAGTCCTAGTTTTAGTAAAACATAAGAAAAGGAATGTGGTTATTTCCCATTACACCATCTTATAATCAAGTAAACACATGAAAGAGAATGAATGACTTTTAATCTCATTACTTTACTTTTCTTTCTAATCCAGTTAGTTTTCTCATTAAATTTTTTTAAGGTTTAATAAACGTGCCCTTAGATTAGAATAAATAAATCGGATAGTTAAGCTCCTATATCACTTTTTCTTTTAATTTTATTTTTCGGATCTTAGTAATATTACTTCGTATCCTTTTTGGTTTAGAGTTTAATATAATCCTTGTCATTATACAAAACGAACAATACTACTCTCTCACTCTATATATATGTATATCAAACGCTTTCCCAATCATAGTTCCACCATTAATTAATATCAAATCTTTTCGTTTTTCAGCGACTAGCTAGGATTAATAATAATAATAATACTCAGTTTCTGATCATGGCTTCCCAGGAGACCATCTACAAGTTCTCCATGTTCCCCCTAGAGCCACATGAGATTAATTACGATAATCTCCCCAAAGAAGGCAACTATGTTGTCTTCAGATTAGGCTTTCTCCATATACTAAATAATATCAATTTCCCAACGCGAGATCCATACCTGGTAGCAGAGGCATTCTCAGGCCATCTTACAATACCCCGTCGCGAGTACTTAGCACAACCTTTAACCCTAACTCGAGACATGCTGATTTCAGAACTACGCTTAACGAACGACGAAGCTGACTCTTTCGCGCCGGTGGTATGCTCCATAGTTAAAGAGGTAATCGATGAGGTTACCGATCATAATACTGACTCCAGAATATTGGCTTTCGCGGTGGATGTTTATCCTGAGACTTTGACTTTGACAAATAATAACAGCGAGGAAGACGATGAGATTGAGAATGCCATAAGGGAATCAGCAGAAGAGTTCCGGACAGTTCCCGCGACCAAATCATCCATCGAAGCGTTAAGGGTTGAGACTGTGGAAGGCATAATTAGCAAAACAGAAACATGTTGCAGTATCTGTTTGGAAGGATTTATGTCTAATATTATTGAGGATGGTGATCATGTCAGTAATGGTGACCATAATTATAAGGAGACGGCACGAATGCCATGCTCTCATCTTTATCACAAAAATTGCATCGTCCAGTGGCTACAGACCTCTCACATGTGCCCCTTGTGCCGCTACGCCATGCCAACTTCATCACCTTAATTTAAACTAACTAGCGATATATATCTACTTCTCAAATTGTATTTAGTCTTTAGGTCTTCAAAAATTAATATATGTTCTTGTTTCAGAAGGATTTATATTGACAATTATTTTCGTTAATTTATGTTAATTTAGACTTCTTCAATTTCAATATTACTAATATAGTGTGACTTTGTTAGGCTAGGGCATATATTCCCAACGCCTATAATGACTGGCGGAGCCGGTTTACACCGATTTCATTAGAAAAAATAGGATATTTACATTCTTATACTCAGTAGCTTGGGATTTTTCAGAAAGTATACCTTCGATTTTTAATTTCATTAAAGTTATACTATTAGATTACATTTAATATATAAATTCATACCTTTGTTCAGTCAAAATGTAATTTTGACCTATAAAATGCCTAAAACAACCTTAAAAGAAAAATAAGAAAAATTGAATAATAATATTAAATAACAATAATAATATAATAATAATAAGAAAAGCAAACAACCAACAAACTCAAGTGAGAATTTGAGGATCGACAAAATCAAGTGAGAATTTGAGGATCCATGGATTGTGCAGAGATGTTCAATCGGTGGACTTGCAATGGTTAGCAAGTGAATCATCTCTTAGAGACTAATGGGATGTTTATTTTAAGGGTTCGTTCTTAATTTTGAATCATGGTTCTTGATTCTCTACAATATTTTTTTCTCACAAAAAATTTAAATTTAAAAAATCAGAATCATAAATCATGATTCTAAATCTATGAACCAAACGTCATATAAATTTATTAGTGGATCCTATGACTATATTAGAATCTCTGTTAAGCTAAATAATTTTTAAATAAATAAGTTTGTTTTTTCCCTTTATTACCTTACTCTTTTGCCCTTGAACTGAAATGGTGAGCTGTTTTGTTACAACTATTTGTTAGTCTTTTGACCCGGCCTCTATTTATATGGTCCCGTTCATTATACCGATTTGAGTTTAAAATTTGAGTTTTGTTATAATAAAAAACTCTCAGAAACAGTCATATTTATTTATTTATTTTTGCTATAGTAAAAAATTCTCATATAAAATCACATCTCAACTCGAATCAACAAACTAAACGGGTCCATAATCTGTCTCTTCTGTATCGATGGTTTCAAGAAGAATGAAATTCTTTCTTCCTTTCCATTTTTTCTGTTAAATTTCTGATAATTTTTTACTTTCTTTTTTTTTTCTTTTTGATATTTGCTATTTGGTTTATTTAGATAATGAGTTTTGCAAAAGTTTGGATCTCAGTGGAGGATGAACTACAAGTGTTCAACGCAATGCAGTGGAATCACCGTCATGCCGCCAGATCCCGAGGCGGTGGCCGTCGCGTTTGGGGGAAGAGTTGGCCTTCGTAATCTCCGGCGACAAAAGAAAGGATTCAATTCAGATCTCTATTCACTTTTATCTATCTCTCTACATTTTCCAATAGGATGTTTGGATCTGGTTTGTTCAACTAATTCAAAGTATTGAGGCCACAAAAAAGAAAAAAGAAGGAAAAAAAAATCAGAAACTTGATTGTTGATGCACTATGGGGATTTTGACCGACTGTTAACTTTTGTTCTTGGAGTTTTGATTTGAATAAAAGAGTTTTGATTTTTTTAAAAAAAAAATCTCTTTAAGGGTATTTGTGTCAATTTGGGGTCTCAACGAACTATTAATCTAAGACAGGGTACACATTTAACTATTAAATCTAATCTCAAAGGATATATTTGATAAAATCAAAAACTGAAAATATACTTTTTTAATAAACTTAAAATACATAGTATAATAATGTAAATATCGCTTAGAAAATTTGTTTCGATTATGAAACTTCCAGAAATAAGTAAAATTATAAATATAATTCTTGGTAAAACATATACAGGTTGTAGATCTAATGGTGAAAGAACAGTATCGCAGTATTTGTTTGGAAAACTATTCAGATTTGGGCACATGTTCTTATTTTAAAAATCAATCCATACGTTTTGAAATTGTCAGATTTCTCTGTAGACTGTATCGATACAGTACCTAATATTTAGAAATACATAAATAACTAAAATAAATGCACGTATAAACTAATACAGTTCAAGTACTTATACTCGTAAGAACTCACGTAATACCAACTAACACTACAAGAAATTGTAGCTTTAGCTAAATTTTTTTTAGCTGCAAATGTAAATTTATAGCATTTTGTTGGACGAAATAAAATTTCTGACTGATTCATATTAATTAGTAGTTACAAAGTATATTTAGTAGCTAAAATTTTGTCACTAAATAATTAGAATAAATAGTTTAATAAAAAAATTAGCTACAAAAATTAGTTTTTGTAGCTGATCTTTAAATTAGTGAAAAAAAATATTTGTAAAAAAAAAAAAGAGATAAGTGATAGCCACAATTTATTAAGCCATAAAATCGTCTTTCTTAATTAAAAAATGTATTTTTATCTCTCTCTCTCTCTCCCTCTCTCCACTCCGCGACGTGGATATGTATGGGTATTTTCAAAGAGTATTTCAAATTACCAGCGTATTATTTTATTTTTACTATTTACAAAATTATTTAAATATCTTAGTGTCTAATAGAATTACAAAATATCTAGTGTTTTGTAGACTATTTAGATACTGAATATCTTATCATCTTTTAAATGATTTTTAAAAATGATATAATTTTTTAAAATAGTTTTAAAATACTTAATTACTAGCTTCATTCTACATTCGATTGCATTTGTTGAGATTTACTTGCTTTTCACATATTTCTCTTACTTGCATTTGACTTATGCATCATGTTTTTGATCGATACTTCAATCATTGTGATTATTATGTTTTATTGTTGTTATCCCTTCTCTCCCCTATTGGCATTTAACTCACCCCTCCTTTAAATGTTTTTCCCCCTCCAAAATTAGCAGTTTGATTTGAAGTGTGGTACGTTGATGCCAATAAGTTGAAGATGCGAGATTTGAGATGATTCGTTTTATTTTGATTCAATAGTTTTTAATTCTAAGTTGTATTGTACTTTATATATGTAAAATATGTATTAGTCAGCACTGTTCTAGAGTTGTATTATTTTGAGAAAAATTATAAAATTATGGACTATTTTAGTAATATACTTGTAAAAGAATCCGGAGCAATATATTTAAATATTTATTACTTAGATTTTGTTATTTAATATCGTTTAGTTAATTTTAAAAAAAATAATAATCACGGCCCCTTTTTGAGTCGTACCAAAAGTGAAGAGTCTAAATGTGAAACGTCTTAGAAATGAATCAGGCGCGTTTGGAACCCGTTCTAAAATAATTATATTTTTGGTATGAAAATGGAAATGAAAACGTTTTCAATCTCATGCAGAAATCATTTTTAAAAATGCGTTTGGCAGTTTTATTAAGAGATTATTTTTAGTATAGAAAAAAAACTGAAACTCCATTTAGTTATACATTTTTGAAAACATCTAATAGTATTTTAACTAATATATTAAATAAGAAAAAGAAAATATTTCTTTCTTATATATCTAAAGAAATAACCATTAATGTCTTAGAAGGAAGTTTCCAACTCAAGCACCACTCTGCATGCACTTTGACTCTTTCTTTATGTATATATATGTGACACCTGTCACTTGTGAAGTAAGTACAAAAGATAATTGTCCCTTGTATTGTCACGAGCAGAAACGACTAAAAATCGTTTTTAAAAACTCTCCAATTTTATGTGAAACTAAAAAGGTGTTCTCATTTTTATTTTTTATCTTTAGTTGCTCTAAACGCTATTTTTTACTCATTTTTATTTTTTTGTTCCTCAAAAAATATGAAAAACATTTTTAGAACCGATTCTAAACGGATAAATCAGTGTTTTGTTGCCTGAATTTTTCAGCATTTCTTATTCAATAAAATGCTCTGTCTTGTGTCAGACATATAAAATTACTATCGATGCCCTTTAAGTACTATCTAAACTGTTCAATTCCCATCGAGCGATCAATAATTTTTTCAGATCACAAATGCCCAAATAGGGTTGTCGGACACGATAGTTATCCTAATTTCATGGTCAAGAAAGCATTTCAAACATCAGTCATGTGATTTCTAAGTTTATAATTATATAAACCATAATATTACAACATAAGAGCAAGTCAATTCATGATATGGTTGACAAAAAAAAAATTAAAAAGGGAGGCATTTTTCTTAGAGTTATCCTCTCTTTTCATATACTAGTTTTTAACGTGCATATTGTGTTGGAATCATCTTATAAGTATATTATTTACTGCATAATAAAAATTTATTTATGAATGAATTTAAGTATCTTGTATTTATTGTAAAAATATATATTTTTTAATATTTTTTGTCCAAAAGAATTCATTTTGATTTTGAACATTTTTTAGTAGAACATATTTCCTCTTTTATATGGTTATAGCTTGAAATGAAAGATTTAGTGTAGTAAGTTTAGGGAGAAAAATACTTAGTGGTACGTATTAGAAAATAGTATTTGAGATAGTCATAAGAAATAGACATTTAAATAAGATAATTATTTATAAGAACGATATTTAAGAAAGTCAATCAAAAAACAAGATTTATAATGATCAATATTTACATAACAAGGATTACATGTTTATCAAATATTATATATATATATATTAATGGTAATTAATTAAGATTGAATTATTATTATTTCACGTCATCTAATCTTTATATTTGATCGATAACCACTATAAAAATTTAACCATTTAAAACTCGTATACATATATATGTGTATATATATAATGAAGTAGAACATGTATGAAAAAATTATTTTAGCGGGCAAATTAGACATGAAATTAATTAGGCAATACAAAAGAAAAATAGTACATGAGAGAGCCGTGGGAAAAAATGTTCAAACAAAAACATATTTTGAAGAATATTACCTCATCGGGTTTAATGAGAAAATAGGTATTTATGAGAAAGTAATAGTTGAAACGGTCATGAGAAAACAACTACTAAAAATGAGACAAGTTTGTGGAACAAATTGTTTTAGTAGACTGCAGTCATATTGGGAAGA